TTGGTATATATATGTATACACAAAACATAGCGACAATCATGTAAGTTGATGAAGTTTTTATCAGTGAGCAATGCTGGCTTTGTTGTAACAATCCATTGCATCAACAGATTAATGTTACGGATTATTTCGATAAGCTAAAAATATGGCGGCGCAACCTGGTTGAAAACAAATGTATTTTTGTATTTCAGATCTTTGTTTTTGTATTTCAGATCTTTGTTTTATTCTATAAAGGACCCTATTCAATATTTGGATTAATACTTGAAATTGTTTTTTTAAATAGCTATGCTCAAATCTGATCTAATCGTTTAAATATTCACATTGCTTACCTCTTCGACATTGTACAGCGACGATTAATATTGTAAGAAATCCAAGCACGAAGAAGATTTTATTTCTCGCTTCCATTTTTGCAGTTGCTTTTCTGAACACTTAATAGATTATGGTGAAACTATTCACCCTTTGACATCTTTTATACCATCTTGTAAAAAAATAGCGTGGTTACCCCAAATAATTTTCATCAGAGGCGAATGATCGAAATTTTCGCAAACCACATAAGCCAAATCTTGTTTTAGCGTATACTGTTTGGAACAATATGACGTAATGTCGCAATCAAGCAAAAAAAAATTACCGAATGATCTCGATCACCCGATTCAGGAAATAATTTCAAGTTTCTTGAAATTTCATTATAGGTAATTGAAACCACAGGTTCCAACGAAAGGTTAACAACGTTTGACTGAAACTGGAAAATAAAATAATAAAAGAATAGCAAGGAAATAACTCTTTTTCAGTTTCAGTTCAAACTTGATGCTATATTTAAATTCTGGAATTTCAATCCTCACCGAGAAGATAAAAAATGATTGGAGAGCAGTAATCCAGCGCATATAGAATATGAACTCTTTTATTTGTCTGATAAACGAATATATATTTTCACTCAGATAACAGAAGTACGTCGCCTGAGTCATTTTTTCAGCTTGGAGTAAGCATAAAAAATTCTTGAAAAACTTTCCTGTTCGAGAGTGCAAATTAAAACTTCGATGCAAAAACTCGCAAACGGTTTTGTTGGCGTTCAGTGGTCTTAGTGAAACGCAATATTATTAAACAATTGTAAAACAAAAACCGTTTATTCTCCCTGTTATGCGTTTCGGCTTTCCTCTGATGAGAAAGTCTGATTTAACAAAACTGGTACGCAGCACTTCATAGACTACTGTTAAATAGAAAAGCATATAAGACTTATCATTTTGAAAAAAACTTAAGCTGCCCCTTTTTGGATATGAACTTACATATGGATCGTTCTGTTATTATGTTGTTTTTAGAAATTTTTCTCGTGTACTTTACTCATTAACTACTGGATCACTGGCTTTGAAATAAATTTCTGTGGACTCCAAGCGATTACGTGACGCCATAAAAATTGCCCACTTTTTGGCGGTTTCGCGATCTGGTTGTCAGGCGAAATCGTGAAGGCTGCGGTACCGGTAGGTTACTGTGACAGATTGCATCCTCGTACTTTTTCGTTTTTGCCTTCATATCCATGTATTTGAGTATTGCTCTTTTGTTTATATTTATTATTGAGGAGCGATTGGTCTGCTGACCTATCGTATTTCTGACGCAATGAATTGATTTGGCAGCAGTAATATATTTCAACTTCATGGCATGACATGATTTTCTGGTCTCAATCTTTTTAACATCTCTGTCCTTTAACAATCTCACAACCACACAGAAAGTGTCCAGAACAAAATACAAATAGATACAATTGGTATTTATTTACATTGGGTTTCTTTGGTACTGAAATAATTGAATCAACATGAACTTGTATTCCGTGATAGAATTCCATTTTTAGTTGTTGTTGCTTTCAGAGAGTAATATTATGCAAATGGTAAATGTTACGACGACAATCCCTGCAGAGATTTGTAAGGAAACAAATATAAATATTGTTTTCTTAAATTACGTATAGGGTACATCCCTATGTGTAAAGTGTTTTGGATACAGTATGTACTTTGGCGGAATAAATAGATTTGATGTCGTTTATAGTTAATATCGCGTTGTGATATACCTTAGTTGTTACACTATTTTAAAGATTTAATCTTGAAATTTTAAAAGGCAAAATATATAATATGACATATACATTATTATTTAAATTAAAATGTATATAACATTATAAGCTAATGAGCGACGAATAAAATATAAAATCCTTACTCCTTTTTATATAATTCATTTTTATAAGATTTGTTGTATATATAAAATATTTTCAGTATGTTAAGTTTTTTTTTAATTTTATAAGCCACCATAAAGATTTGGATTGATATTTAAAACTGATTTACAATAATCATTATGCTTTAATCTATTCGTTTAAATTTTCAAATTGTCTACTTCTTCGACATTGTACAGCTGGGATTAAAATTGCAAGTACACAGAAAATTTTCATTCTTCCTTCAATTTTTGTGGGTAATTTTCTGACAATTATTACATTGCGATGAAACTATTCGAGAGTTGGTGTGTTTAATGCAATTTTGAAGGGGTATTTCCCCAAAATCCTGATTTCAAATGTATAGAGGGGATTTTCATATCAGAGGAAAACGATGGAAATTGTCGCTTATCATACAACGTGAAATTTTATCATTTGATCTCTGTAAAGTTGTGACGTAATGTCTCCTTCAAGCAAGGGTCAACCAAGGCAATTCGGGAAATATATGATTCCATTAGAAGCCAATTAAAACCGCACGTTTCATAAAATGTGTTGCGGATTTGCTCAAAGCAAGGTCAACAACGTTTAATTGAAACAGGAAAAATCAACTGTCACTTCGAAAGTTGTATTCAAAATTATTAATTGCGCATAGTTTTGAAAAACGATTTTGGATTGTGAATAATTGCAATACTTTTTTACAGCTCTCCATTCCAAGAAAACAAAATTTTACCTTCAAATTTTTCAGTTTGAAGTAAACTTGCCTTTTTCTGTTTCAGTTGGAAGTTATTAATCTTAAATTTGGGAAGTTTGACTCCGGGCATAGGCTCCGGGGTGGGGGGCTGCGGGTTACATGGGCTTCGATATTGGGGAGAAATATTATTTTGACCACGTAGAAATGCCATTATTGCCGTTTTCAGTATCAGTGTTTTAACCCAAAGCTGAGTTACGTGAATACTCAACACTGAGTATTCAAGAGATTACCAATTTGCGGAGTTTTTTAAATATTATTTAATGCGAAAGTAACACGGAAACGATCTAAAATTAAAATCATAGAAATGTCAACTATCCGCTTCACAAATATCGCATCCGCAGTGTCATGAATAATTATTTTGTATAAAATTAATTTGTGTTGTGAATGCACTCCTTAGTTGTCTCTAACATCTTCGCCGATGTGAACTCACAATTTTGTACAAAATATAAAAACTAAACTACGATATCCGCCGTTGCGTGAGAATTAATATTTGCTAGTGAATAAAAAAATGCTTTAATATAGTTTAACAACATTAATTGGAATGTTGGCCGCCTAAACGATCGCGGCGACAAAAAATTTACTGCAGCCTTCGATTATGACAAAATTATGAACTAAAAAACGCCGCATTGTTACGGAGTTTTCAGTCTTATCGTCACGGCGATCGTTTCGGCGGCCGACATCTTAATTATTGTTGTTTAAAATGACAATACTCATTATTCAGTGTTCGTTAAAAAAATTCGAATAACTCAAAATACGATTTTGTCCGCCACCAATCACGGCGCATTGAATGGCAATAAAATTCAACTGCATTAACAATAAATACCAAGTAACAGTTTCACGGTTCCATTACATTTGAACCCACGACAATTGCACCTGCATACTATTGCACCTATGGATTTTTTTTGTTTGACGGATATTTAAACCCATACTAACCCTAACCCGTGGGTTTTAGCACCCGCATATAGATTGAACCCGCGGATATACGCATGGGTTCAAATGTACGGTCACCTAGTTTCACATTCCATGAATTTGATCGGCGCTACATGCGAGCGTGTCTTTGTATATATATATATATATATAAACCATTATGACGCTACTGACATCTGCGGGTTATAGTTCTCTTCGAAATTAATTTTTGCAATTTTTAATATTTTATTTCTAAATGCGGAGAGGTGGGCTACACGTAAATGCGAAATTTCACTGTGAACGACCATACATTTTAATTTAAAGGCATTACGTCGTCGTGAATTGCACTTTTTGTGCAATGTTTTAATTTTACGGTAACCCCCCCTTGGAAAAATTCTGGCTTCGCCCCTGGATTACACCAAGTAACTGGAGAAAAATGACATAATTTTTTTTCCAATTTTATTTTCACGGAAATTACCCCCTCCCCCCTCCAATTATTATATATATATATATATAAATGTAATTTTTCTCTGGTCCTATGCCAAAATTTTCTTCACACTTACATGCATGTTTTCGAGTTTTCTCTCTACACTGGGAAAGTTCACAAATCACACAAAAAAAACATAATATTTTCCAAACCATGTTCAAATTATATTTTAAATAATTTTATCTTTATACCTATTTCAATATTAAAAAAACACCTAAATGCGTATGTATGTATGTAGTAAATATCCCAGAAATCATGGCCCGAAAAAATGCTCTATTTGGATCATTAGCCCAATGTTCAAAAATTGAATATTTTATTCGCCCTAGTCTTATATCATCAACGACTTTTATTTCCCTAACATACTCACCATGCAGGACAGTAGATATATATATAATCGGAAACCTATGGGGTGCGGAATGACATTGCCAATCATTTTATGTACCCGACATGCGTCGGATGTTGTGATTTATAGATTACTGGTGAAAAGAAAATAATGCCATGCGTTTATTTCATTATGAGCGTACGAATGAATTCACTGGCAATGTTTTGTGGTGTCCCTACATTCATCATGGAGTAACTGGGCGCATGATTAACGGTCTTCTTATATTATTATTGTCAATTTCGTGACAGAAATCCAATAGAACGCTAAAATAACATAACATAGGTTATAGCAGGTAGGAAAGCGCATTCATACTAGTGATTCAACACGCTTCCTGTACGATGATGCGTCAACAAGTAAGGAATATTGGTTGTCGATAGATGAGATCCGAATATACATACAGTGTATGCCGATATGTGATTGCGTTAGCCGGTTAGTATTTTTGTTGTGAATTTTATTTAACTTGAGTATTGAAAGGTATCTCATTGTTACCACTCTGATTATTCGAGACATTCAGACTTTGACTAGGAATGAATGTCCGTGATTTGTCATTACAGTTCAGATTTGTTTTGCATGTGGTCAAGCACGAGGTCACGAAATTTTTAGTATATACCTTGTAGTTGAGGTGGCAGCTGTAACAAAATATTTTAAACTTAGCCTATCGTCCTTCCTGAACCCGGATTGATACGTTGATTAAGTCAATAAACTTCCCCCAAATCGAACTCAATGAGCGAACATCTGCGCGTAATTACACTTATGGTATCGTAGGCTTTATCGTCTGACTGAAGCACTTAGATTTAGAAAGCCGACAATGTTGGCTGTGATTAGCAGCAGAGCAGAAAGTCGTTATGGTGCGATCATTTTGGGTGAGTGACGGATCTCAAATTAAGGCAGTGCTTGTATATTAGCACAAAAAGTAGACGTAGTTCGGTTGGCAAATTTATCACAGACTAACGTTTCCAGCTCAGTGACACACTCGCTAATGTTTTTACATTGTTTCTTTAACCAGGTTGTCATGCAATACGTTTAGTCTATAGGCGCATTAATCAGGATGAACATATCGGAATTTTTCAATTTGACTACGGTACCCAACGTAGTTGTTACAGAACAGACTAATGCAGTGAAAAGCACGACTATAACGACAGACTTGAATACAACATTGAAACATCCGTCTCATGTATTCCTTGATGAGCCTATATTCGATGGAGATCCTCACAAAATAAGACTAAGTCAAAGTTTGACTGCTTTGTCAATATTAATTCTCGTTGAGGTCATGCTTGGTCTGGGTAAGTGACTTGCTTTTTTCTTGGTGTATCTAGTCATAAAGAAAATAATTGGATCAATGTTTAATCTATTTGCAATAGCCCTTACTCTATGTTTTTACGTTTTGCTGCAGATGAAATGTGCTGAATAGTAAATATAAATGTTATGTTTCTGAACATTTTGTAAATAATTCAATTCGAAATTTCGAAAGGGGTTCCAGTTTATGATAATTATTTTGACAAAATTACTTTGTAAAAAATCCTGTCATAAATTTGAGAATTGTGCGACTACTTTCTTTTCATTTTCCAGGTTGCTCGGTTGAAATTGACTTGCTCAGGAAACACATCAAAAAACCTATTGGTATTCTTGTCGCAGGATTTACACAATTTATCTTGATGCCCTTGATAGCTTTCGGATTGGCGAAAGCCGCAAATTTATCATCTGTTCCTGCACTGGCAACTTTAGTTACTGCTAGCGTACCAGGGGGAATATTATCAAACATTTTAGCATGCTTAATCAAAGGAGACATGAGTTTAAGGTAACAATACAAATGTTCCTGCATTCTAAACTACAATCTATCTTATGAAGTTATAACTTCTGTATAAACGTGAAAATATTAACATTGAACCCTTGAGTAAAGGAATACATGTGAAATTTAAAAAATGATACTCCCGTAGTATGTGTGCCAGGTTAGGGTTAAGCCATATTTTTATTCCGATTTTTCTTATTTTTGTTCGGGGTCTGTGTTAGCAAAGTGAATGTCCCCCTTTCGATAGGTTTCAGTCCCTTTACACAACTTGGCGAACAAAATGAGTTACCTCCATATTGGTATAGCGCCAAAAAAATTGCTGGAATAGTCGTAAGTTTGCAGACATGCCCATAACAACATCACTTTACACCTAAACCCTTTCCTCGATAGTTTTTAAAGTTCTGACAAAAAAATTATTTGCTCTCTTCCATGCCGAAAAATTGGTTCGTTTCAATATCTTTACAATTTGTTTACAATCCAGTATACTTATGACGACGACCTCAACGATCTTAGCCTTGGCGTTTATTCCTCTCAATTTGTTCTTATATGGTTCTCATTGGCTCCCAGTTGATACAGGACTTGGTACAATAGTCCCTTACTCATCTATTATCTTGTCGTTTGCACTCATGATTGGACCCACTCTGTGTGGAATATTTATAAAATGGAAATGGCCGGAAATAGCCGGAAAAATTACGACGGTGAGTTGTGGAAACTTGGTTTTAGCTAAGTTCTTGCGTTATTTGCTGCGGTGATTCGCCTGTTTAATTGGACGTTAAACATAGCAAGGTCTATATATACAAAGGTGCATGGTACGTGTTATTTAGGTAGCGGATGTGATGTTCTAAGAGAGAGATATATTTCAATATATTTCAGGTTTGCAAAGTTTTGCTGATTTTAACAATTTCCGCCCTTATTGTGATATCAGTGTTCCTGTATGAAACTGAATTATTGAGAAATATACCACCCAAGTTATGGCTAATTGCCATATTTATGCCAGCTATCGGGTAAGTTTAAAGACTAGAACAATATTTAAAACATTTGGCCTAAAGAACATTAAAAAAGAGTGTAAACCATAATTGTAAAGCAACATATATATATATATTATATAAGTGTCACTGGTGAATATTTTTGACAAATTCAAATAGTAGGTTTGTGGTCAGAATGTTCGATCATGTACTTATTTAGTACTGTTTACGTTTTGTTCGATGCAATAGTTCACTTTCAAAATCATCGCAACTGGCATTTTGATGCATGAAGGGAGATGAAACCAAGCAAATTCATTTGAGATCTAAATTGACTGCGATCCCAAAGCGAAAATATTTCGAAAAATTTATGGAAACGACCTAGCGGTTACGAATCAATGTTGTATTTATTTCCTGTTTGATTTTGTGCTAAGAGATCGATATAAATAAAGTTGATGTTTCAACTTAAGTCAAACCTAGTCATGAACATTGCTTTGCCGACATGTAGACGCTTGTGCTCAACGACCAAATCTCCGACGTTGCTCACCATGGACCTGTTGACGCAAGTCTGGTTGTTTAATTTGAGTTTTTATTAATTTTTGATCATCCTATTCAAGGTTCACCTTAGGATTCATAGGCTCAACTATTTGCGGACTACGGGGATCGGCAAGAAAAACTGTTGCAATTGAAACAGGGTGTCAAAACAGTCATATGGGAGCAGCCATACTTAAAGTCGCATTTCCCGCCCAAATGATTGGGAGTTTTTTCCTTTTTCCCTTGGTATACGGTGGATTACAATTTCTGGAAGGTGTTGTTCTTGTCATAATTACCTTGTTATACATGCAACTAACGCCCGAATCAGCTCAGGAGACAAACTTTGGAGATGATGACAGTTCAAAAGCAGCGAAAGAAAAATCAATGTGGCAAAAACTGGAGGCATGGCAACAGACTTGGTTGTCACGCCGTGGTGCCAGTGACAAACAACATATTTTACCAGGGGAGAAAATAGTTCATAACGAAGCATCGGGTATCGTAACAACAGTCGCACAGGACATTGCTGATGAGGCATCACGCAGTCCAAAATAATACAGTGATTGCGAATAAATCAATACAGTTTTTTACCAACAGTGCCTCGATCAGCGATGAATGTCACGGTGAATAATGTAGGCATTCGTATAAATTAACAGCTTACTCGGATTTAAATTAGCATGTTTCTATTTTGCAGGTGTGATAAGCAGTAAATATTAAAAGTATTTCGCGCAACACAACCATAAAATTAATGAATTGTGCTAATATATATTGAAAAACACGATTACCTTATCGCCGTGAAGCAAAAAGCGCTCTAGTGCATGAAAAAGCGAATATTTATTGAGTATAATATCCCTATCTAAACAATAGTTTTTGTAATATTGACAAAATGTGTAGGCCTACACTCTTATACTCATTTTGCAAGACAGAAATAGACATTTTTATATTGTCAGTATTTTCATATATTGCAAGCGACACATAAACAGAAATTTTCGTGTTCTCAGCATTTTTATTTTAGCGAATGCACCATCTACTCCGACAAGGATCATTTCAATCATTTTTATTTTCTATCTTTCTGTAGTTATTAAATAGGAGCATGACTATAAAGGGAATCTTGCTGCTGAGAGGAACGTCATTCTTGTTTGACGTTAGCTGTCTATAGCATCTAATAAAAATGCGTGGAGCTCCGGTCATAATAGTTTCTATTTTGGAGATAATTTTCATAATAGAACTATAAATTTATATTGGAATGTAATGAGAAGAGGTATTTCTAATTTGAGAGATAATATGAATCACGTCCATCCTTGCCGTTGGGTTGAATTCATCAACATGAACAGTGCTTCTTACATGGGTGCATGCAAATTTTGTAATGTAGAAGGACGAATAAATGAGAATTTATGTAAGTACAACTTGAATGATTGATTTCTTCTAGACTTCGAACACAACAATACTTACTCGTGAATAGTTTGAGGAATTTCATTTCGGCTCCGCTGTTTTATGCTCAAATTCGTTTGGTAAGTATTGTTGTGTTCGAAGTCTAGAAGAAATCAATCATTCAAGTTGTACTTTTTTAAATTTGTGGTGAACGGTAAAACAACGGCATTAAATTTTGATTGGGTTCATTTCACATCAGGAGATGTATTTGAGCAGTTCTATGGCGCCCGAAATTTCACTCAATAATTTTGCTATCCGACTAACCGGAAGTCCATGTGTTTACTTAATGATCACCCGATATGTACTTTCGCCTCTGTAAAGCTCAGTACTATAGGTCCGTAAATGGTTGACCTATTTTAGAAGCCGATTTTAAATCCCAGGTATAAATCACCTCTATACTGTAATGTTTCTTCAAAAATGATTAGGTCATCGCAAATTGCTTTCCCGTGGCGTTTAATTCGAAAAAAGATCACTAACTGTATTGGCAAGCACGAAAAAAAGTAAAAACTATTTGTAGTGCGGTAATGAAGTGTAATTATCTTTGCAATTCGTCGTGATTTGTTTCGATGAAAGTGATTGCGTCGCAAGTTTAAAAAGAAAGGATAGCTAAAATATACTCTCTTTTTGAGTCATAGTCGAGTTTATTTTTTCCATCCAGTAAAAAAAATTAACATTCAATATTAAGACGAATACAGTAATATTGAATACACATTTCACTGGGGAAGGGAAGTCACAAGGAACCAAAGCTGGTTATCAAGCAACGACACCCAAGGTTCAAACATCTAAACAAACAGTAGCATTAGCAATAATACAATGGGTATCGGCCACGATAGCTTCCACATCAATGCTCGATCTGATGGCGTCGTGAACCATCAAGTTCAAAGTTGTGTGCCATACATCGTATATTACAGTAGCAAAGGTACGCCCCACTCTCTTTCTTGTTTTCGAATTTCTGATAGCAGCAAGGTTTGCGAGCCCACGAGCTCAGAACAGGAAATGACGGGCATAACGCGGCGTAAATCACCCTTGTTCCAAGTAAGAAAATTGGAGGTTATAATCATGAATGAATCATTTTGAAGATTTGTCCATTATTCTGTTGTAGCACATAATATATACTATGGGTCCAACGACGCTGTTCAACAAATTCTTTATTTTATTTTTCACATCATCATATATTCCCGGCATAACAGTGTTGTAAAAAAATTTCATGACGGAATGGAGTATCTAGCACAGTGTTTCTCAACCTTTTTTGGTCGCGGACTATTTTCTCACTGTCGAAAACCTTTGCGGACTCAACGTGAGTTTATTGCAACCGTACTCTGTGTGAAGAAGTAATAAAACCAAACACAACAGAATTTTTCCGAATTTCAAAATCGGAAACGCTGCGCAATTACGCCTTTGTTGAAAGGGCCGACTTTTTTGGTGTATAAATGACATTTTTTGTTGCACAATCTTCAATTCTTGACAACGACAAGAATTTAAAATGTGTTCCTATTTTAATTTAATTGTGTTCATGGTCACTCGCGGTTGCGTTGACTATGACGAGATGAAAGCATTGCTTCTTTTAAATGACACGGCAATCTGCAAACATAATAATGTGAGAATATATTGCCCGGTTTTATTTAGTTTTGATATAAATTATTTGCGATCTTGCGAATTTGTTATCGCCGTTAGAAAAATCCTACTATCTGCTATAAATCCTAGAAAGTACAACTTGATTTAGTACTTATTAAAAATATAATTAGTATATTAGTAAGTAAAAATAAAAAATATTCATCGCCTTGCTTTAATATTAATTTAATTGTGATCATTTTACTCTGCGATTCCTATTTTTGTGAATTCGACAAATATGAGCTGTTCGTACAACAGTAAAGCCAGGAGTCGGCAATATTTTGTCGCTCGCAGGCCAAAATAAAAGGTTGCAAGTCATTGGTGGGCCGCGCATATTTTTGGAAAGTTAAAAGCCGGGCGTATGGCCAATGAATCACATTTTTTCATACAGATCAGAAGTTAAAAATTTTAAGCAGCGCCCGAAGACTGACCATTTGAATATTGAACCAATTGCACTTATCGTTCAACTTTTCTGCGTTTTGTTGCCATTGAATTCCTAATTATAATGAAGGCTCATTCAACGAGTAATTGTGAATTATATACTTGTTAGATTATGATAAAATTTAGTCTAAACATGCCGCAAAATAAATTCTGTCACGTAAAGAATATAATCGCAAAAAAAGATGTTTTGTTACTTTAATTCAGAGAAGCGTCGCGGGCCTGATTGTATTGCTCCGCGGGCCGTAGGTTGCGGACCCTGCAATAAAGCAAAGAATTCTGAGGGAAATGCCCTGATACGAATACTACGGTAGCACCCGAAATTTTGCAATTCGCAACATGTCTAAAAAAGCGTTTTTAAGAAAACTCATGGTGTTTTCAGTTTTATTTTTAGTATTTTGTATTGCCGCTTTTCAATTTAGAAAATTTAGGTTGCTACCATTGACACCTACCAGAAAAATCATTCCTCGAATAACAAGTCTAGGGATGGGTCGGGATTCGGATCCGGACTCGGATTCGAGTCGAATCCAGGCATTTTTTGGACTCGGATTCGATTTCGAGTCCACGTCGTTTTTACCGAGTCCATAATCAATTCTGTTTTTACTAATTTACGCCTATGTTTGTACTTTTACCTCTTTAAATCCCACTACATACCTTAACTTGTAAAATTCAAAGTTAGATCTGTAACAATATCCCTCGTGTGCATTATAAACACTCCTAATAAAACGACGACAGATATCCAGATAATATAACGCAAGTTAAAAACTATTGATCGCTTATAACAATGATGTTGCGCCAGTCGCCTTCAAACTATCTATTCTTTTCGGTATACATGTGGTACACAATAAAATATGTGTTAGCGCAATATTTTTGAGTTTTAGATTCGCGTAAAAATGAAACATGCCCTGAATCAACCCAATGGAGAATCTCATCAATACCTCTTTCAAATCGGGTTTATTACGTGCAATCCTTTCGCTAAAAAGGCAATGGAAAGCATGGAGAGTTTTAGAACGTTTAGATGAACTATTAAATTGCAAGCGGATGTACCACAATGTATTGACGACGATTGGCATTTCTCTACCATATGCGCACGTGACATAGTAAATTCACGGCTAGAAATATCTGGAATTATGGGAAAGCATTGTAGTCAAAAGATTTTTTATTTTTCATATTAACATGTAAGAATATCTGAATAGCCGACCAGAATTGACGCAAGGTGGTGGGCTGGAAATCCAGTTCACAGCCAAGGCGCACATTGGCCCACGTTTACGTTTGTATTATGGCCGCCAAAAAGAGAAAAAGATATTATTAAAATGATTCAACAGCTATCTGCGGAACCATCAGGCAAAAAATATGAGCTACGACGTATATTTGTGAGCGCACGATGCTGTAGCATGGTCAAAAACGTGTTTTTCTGCTTTTCTATTATGACGTCACGGACTTGACCTATTACTCGGATTCGTCGAATCTCTGTAATGCCGGACTCGTCCCATCCCTAAAATTTAACAACGACTAAATCCAATCGTTTGATTAAACGACGCGCAAGTGACCTGTCGCGTCACTTGTTACCGAATTTTCGAATATTAAATTGCTATTCTAATAATTGAATATTCGAATATATGCCAAGCCCTACTCATTCAGTATCCAAAAATTATTGACTCGATTAATGTTATATGAATAAATTACATTTGAACCCACGACAATTGCACCTATAGAAATTTTTTTGGTTTTACGGATATCCCCTAACATGGGTTCAAATGTACGGTCACCGTGAATTGTCATACAATTTACGTTTTGACAAGGCTTCGACGATGGTGGGCCGGTGACTGTTGCATTCTGCAATACTTTGGGCGTGGAGTCTCTTAGATCCATCTGTTTTGTCGAGAACCTGCGGACAAGTTGACAAGTGTTTAAGCAGTGTTTGTACTCGTTGTATATGAAGATTTACATTTCCCACGACTTATTTTTACCTGCACAAATGTCGCCTTCGGACAACCACCAGTATACAACTATAGCGGTAGTTTATTTCACCCGCAAATCTTTCCAAAACAATCTACCTCGAGTAGATTATTATACAATCACCCAAAAGGTTCACGTAATAAATCTATATATATATATATACCCGTAGCGCTACAAGATCAAATGATGGTGGCCGCATATTGTTGCAACACAGTCGAAAATGTGTTTTTGACGTTTACTTTGTGGTGTCACGAACTCGGAGGATTCGATTTGAATCTTTGACCTATTACTCGGATTCGCCGAATCCCTGTAACACCGATCTCGTCCCATTCCTGAGATTTCTTATATTTATCGCTTATGACGGACGTCGCAATCCGAAAAACAGTTTTATTTCAACGTTATCTTGAAGTGCGACTGCAGTGGGGCGGTGCTGGTCGTTGTTTACTGCAAATTTGATGCATACTTTCTCAATCACTTTTAAAATGCAAAATACGGTATATCACAATCCAATTTGAGGAACATGTAATAAAAAACGAAAACCATTCTGGGCTATAATTCGACAAACTGAATGCATGCTTTGATTGCTTTCTAGTATTATTTTTGTTTTCCCACGCAAGATTCTAAAATAAAAAGAATGAAAAAAAATTCTGACGGGAACATATAATGAATTAAAATAAAACGTTTGTACAAGATAGATGTGCTTAAATCATATGAACACGTCACGAGGTGTCGCTATTTTTTATTCTGACACATAAAAAACGAATCTCTTGGAGTCCACAGAAATTTTTGAAATAAGTAAAATTAATAGCCTTCTGGCAAAAAAATCAATCTTAAACCACTGAAAATTTCAAAGCAATTGGTCCAGTATTCGAAGAGAAAAGCGATTTCATTATGACGAAAGAGAAGAGTTCTAACAAGAACAACAACATAATATTGAAACGATCGTTACCGTATGTACGCTGATGTGTCCAAAAAACTAACTCTTCATTCTCATGACATCCGCGCTTGATAATTACACCCGGTTATATCAGTGACAGAATTTTTTTAGGGTTTTATATTTATCTCCTTGCAAAATTTAGTGCTGGATAGATGGATACCGGTACTTCTACCAAAGTTACCCCAGCCCACACTCGCTCAGCCCACACTCAGCCTGACGTCAAGGGGTTAACCAACTATTTTACTGACTTTATAAACGTAATTACATAAAAACTTGGTGACTCTGACAATATAGAGACCATATCCGATATACACAACGCAAATACAATACCAAGCACGGCCCAGTTACCCCTAGTACCGTATGGCCTGACAAAAACGAGTGTGGGCCAGCGTCACACGAGTGTGGGCTAGCGTCACACGAGTATGGATACCTGATTTTGGGATTTCAAATATAAGTTGTTTTTGTGTATACTGTAGTTACGTACCGGTAGTGAGTTGAGCCTGTAAGCACAATACACTGAATACAGCGATAGGCCCTAGATAAAAAAAATTTATAACACAGATTAAAACTCAAGTTGGAACACCAGGGGCAGGGCGTAGAATGCTTTTGTTTATTTTTTTACTTCGTTTGTTGTTGTTTACCTTTACGCTGCTTTTATTATTGTTGTTGCGTCAGTGAGTGCGTTCATAATCACTTTGATTATCACATATTTTTGTATTGTAAGGGGGCCGCACTACGCTGGCCACATTACTGCATTAGTACTAAGAATAGGTACCGGTACCGTAATTAGTGCAATACAAAACAAACACTTTTGGGCTATTTCAAGTGACTCTATACTATAGGACAATTCCAGAAATTTTGCATGTTGTTAGATGCAGTATATTTTTCATTTTTTGCTACATGTTTTGTTTCATTGTCCAATCAGTTGCTTCATGGGGTTCGAACAAAACTGCAATAAAGTTACACACACATTATCCAAATTCTAAGAATTTCCCTCCAATTGGCTCAATAAAACAAACACTTCATGTGTCTCACAAACGAGAGGCGTCTGAGACCACGTCAGATGCTCCATATCGCGCCATGCTTGTCTCAATAATAATCCAAATTAATCGCGGCCGTCACATGACCAAAATTCCCATTTATTGCTAAAAACTCTTGAATGCCACGTTAAAATTTTTTTTTCCTTATTGAGATTATTATTGAGACAAGCATGGCGCGATATGACTCATCTGCCATCGTGCCAGACGACCCTCGTTTGTGAGACACATGGAGTGTTTGTTTTATTGAACGAAATGGAGGGAGATTCTTGGAATTTGGATAGTGTGCCATACTGATGTAGTATCCAGTCAAAAATCTGTTTGAATTGGTCAGCTTTCTTTTCAAACCCATGCTTGCAAAAAAACATACAAATAGCTGCAGATGGATTGATTACCGAATTTTACCAAATTTAAGATACAAGAGGGTAATTACTAGGGATTCAACTCTGCTATTTGCCACAGCTAACCATAACACTAGTCAATTCGGTGACATTAGTGATGTAACAATATGTCAAAAGATTTTTATGGCGAAACAACACCAAATGCGATTGATTGTTCACCCTCCCGCAGATGCGAGTGCGACGCGGGCCACAGATTATAAAGCGGTGGGTCACATGTGGCCCGTGGGCCTGAGTTTGGACCACTCTGGCATAGATATAACAGTAGTCTAGTAACATTAGAAATTGCAGTCTATGTCAGGATGTGGGATGTCTGTATGTTCAAACTCCACGTCCACACGACACCCATGTATTCACAGCCGAATTATCTTTTGTATCTTTTTTAAAATTTACTTCAATGTGTTGTTTGCTGTTTGGGGTAAGTGGGCATGTGCATCAGCATGTCTTGAATCTTTTTTAGATTTTGCCCACATTCCTGATTCCCCTTAAAAGTAATTTGTTTGTTTTGTCATGTATTGTTTTGTTGTAACAAAATGAACACTTACACAGTCAATTACATGTTAGTACTGCAGTATGTATGTGCTGATGTATACAAAAAATTACTAGTCTAATCCCTATTATTGCATTTTCACTTGAACCTACTGGAATATAATTTTCAGATTTTTTTAATTTGCAACACTGCAAATATGCGGTAGGTAATACTGGATAATTTACAATATAAAAGCCAGTTGTTATCATATTGAATTTGAGGGTCTGAATAACTATAGCACACTTCTGCACTAGTAATTCTGCATAACAAGGCAATTCGCTGCATGCTTACTGCAGAATCACAGCATGTTCATAACTCACTCTTATACAAGCAGTGTTGAGTATTACAACTGAAAGATATCTATCTTTCTGAAATTGCCAAATTTATGTATCGCTTCGAAAATCATATGCTACCCTTGATATTTCGTAACTTTTTTACTACGTTAGAATTTCAATCATCTATAGCTATGCCACAAGGAGTGTTACAAAAATGACTTATTTCATGCCTCGATGCTAATTTTCATTAACAAAAAAAATGCTCAAAACAAAAGTCATTCTAACTTGGGAAAAAAATTCCGTCTAATATTAAAGAAAACTCACTTGCAGTTGCAACATTCAGTAAGCGACTAAAAATTCATTTACTTGATGGCTATGGATAGATGAAAAAAAGACTAGGTTTATTTACCTACTCCATGCTCTATAATTTTTGCCCAAATCTCAATTAACTTCAATAATTATTTCTCTCGTATATTAACAAATTCTGCTATTAGTGCCCAATTAGAAAAATAGCCACCTCACATTCAAAATATAAAAGAATTGTTCCCTCCCCTGTAAACAATTGCTTAAAGTATTTGTTTTTAGTGTTCACCTTATTTCAGTATTTATTGTGTTTAGTATTCACCTTATTTATTGTGTTTAGTGTTCACCTTATTTATTGTTTATCCAATAATAACAGTGGTACTTCGGGTGTCGCTTCTGGATAACCAGCTTTGGTTTCCCGCGATTTCCCTCCCCCTGTAAAACTGTATTATTATTTCCTTGTAATTTGTGCCTGTGTTATTTATTTATTTTTTACTGGTTGGAATAAAATAAACTTGATTGATTGCCGCTTCTGACAGTCTGACCCTGTCACTTACTGGCTAATGAAAATAATTGAAACTCGCCTGATCAGAATAATGTCATCACTACATAAAAATTTTGATACTTCTATTTCTCACATTCAGACATCCTTGATTGTCAGCTTAGGTTGAGGTCAAGCCGTACCACAGTTGTCCGTTTCCGAATTTGATATGTATATTTTTTTGATCTCATATATAGCAGGTATAAGCTAGTCACTTAACAAAATAAAGCATAATTCTGTAATCAACGCTGCAACGGGTTCAGGCCGCTGTATCTGGCAAAAATATTTAAATTTATTGTTTAGTTGCTGGGCTGTGCTTGTCATTCATTGTTTCTGGGCAACAGATTCTAAAATAGATTTTGAGGCAGAAGATATTGAAGGTGATCTGGTAAAAGAAGTTTGAATTAATTGCACACATATATAAGCAGGTAAGATATGTTTAATGTTAATTTTGATATATTTAATTGATGAGCGCTCGTTGGCATTTTTGAGTGTTGTTTCTGCTTTTTTGATAAGGAAATTCTTGGCCAGTTAATCAGCTGCACTAAGACCTTGTTCTATGTGCAGAGTTATTTTTGTGCTGAAGAATAGTGATGTTTTACATTTCGAATTATCAGTCTCATTTTTAATATGTAGGCCCAACTCAGTTTTATAATTTAGGGATGTTGTACTTCGTAATTATGATTATTGCCATAATTGTTCACGAAAATCAATGAGATCTGTTCCATGATTTCAGATATTCAAAATTTAAAGAATTTGTGTATAATTTATGTGTACTGATGAAATATAATCACATTGCAATGACATATTACACTGCATCAAAGTACCAAAGATGTTACATGCTGATATGGTTTTAATTTTTGAACGAGGCTTGTATCTTAGAATTAAAAACATGTATGAAGCATTGCGTCACTGATAAACATTTAAAAATATTTAAAATAGCATCTGTGTATGTCCAAGCATCCTTTTTTGCTAGTTAAGATTTGTTACTGGTTAAGGTGTTTTTATGTTGTTTAGGTCAGGGCATCCCAAACTGGAGGTCCGGCAACGAATTTTAGGGGTATCACAGAGTACAGCAATTTCACACAATTTCACAAGTACTATATCTATTGCACTTTTTCAAACCTTTGATTTGAAACACATTTTTTAAACTAAGCAAAAACATGAATCCCGCGATTTCGAGAGAGTACATAGGTTTAGCTCAATGCCATCTATTGTCATAAGACCCGATAAGCGGCGCTCTTACATAACAATGCTGACTTAACTATGATCGAGGGAATTTGTAATATGTGGTAAGGGGTGGCAACTTGCAAGCTTAAAATTTTGGGAAGCCCTTTGTTAGGCCATAGTTTAATAAATTTAGGTTTTAACTTCTACTACTATTGAATTGTTTCCATAAGTGCTGATGATTTTGAGTAATAGTAATCAATGTTAATAAGCAATGTCCTTGCGTCGTATTCTTTCATATCCTGGATGTTGTATACCATCACGGAGAAAAATTGAACATTCTCCCCCAGAAAATTTGTCTCAGCCACATTGTGATTGTCCATGTGATGCATGCGTTGATGGCATGTGTGATCAAAATGAAAATATTTTACAAAGTAATGAAGATGAAGTCTTTATTGCAGAACAAGAAAACAAATTATTGTATTCACCATTTTCTCAACCAAAACTAAATCAAGGTAGCGAAAGTAACAAAATATGGTGGTGTGAAACTATAATGACTACTAAGCATTTCCAGTCATTGAATCCTTAGTTTTGAAAAAAATAGGATAGGATAGGATAGGATTTACATATTTATCCTGGGGGAGAGGAAAGCCGATAAGACGGCTTATCCATATGGCGAACCACGGCCTCTCGTCCGGTTACCATTCCAAGTCGGGTATGGGATTAGTTTTACTGTATTGTTTGTTTTCGGAAGCATGGACTTGGTGGTGGAGGAAGCCGTAACCGACCAGCGGTTACGTGAACCACCCAACGACGGCGAGGAGTCCAGCAATCCTCTCGCACATAACCATCCCTGCATGGGATTCGAACCTGCGAACCCACGCAGAGTAATTAGAGGTGCGGTGGCGAGCGTATTCCTAACGCTTAGCCCGTTGAGCCACACCGCCGCGCCAATATGAAAATATTTAAAAAAAATATGTAATATAGAAAGCTGAATAAAGGCCTTGCACATGATTGACTCATTCTTTGTAATTTGTTAAGAAAATATGTATTTGAGTCCAAAATGCTTCTTTGTGGTTCTTCGTTTATGTGTATTATAGAAATGTCACAGTCCATCCATTTGATCTCAGAAGTATATTTTTCAACATGATGAGTCTCAACGTTTTATCTGACTGCTTTATTTTAAGCTGTTGACTAAAATCTATTTTTTGGACTTGCGTAATATTATGTTTATTATTGGCGATTATGAAAATAAAAAATTGGCATTGGCAAGATCTTTCGCCGTTAATTTTGAAAATTATTTAATTTTAATTACTATAGAAGAACAATTTTAACAAACAAAACACCGTATTGCGATTTTGAATCGTATAGCTTTGGTTTGCTTCTGAAGGTTTTCACTTAATTTAACATGCTTATGCATTGTTATTATGTTTACTTGGTCTAAGCATGTTATTCTTTTATCAGGTGACTCACAAGAAGTGCCTTTGCACAGGAATCAACGGTCATCAAATATTTTTAATCATTACAGAAACCTCCAAATAAACTATTCCCGCAGGAAATCCTCCAATTCTACTGTTCAGAGCAGGTATTTTCTACAAAATATTAATTGACAAAACATTTTGAATGATATTTTGTTAACCTTAAAATATGTGTACACCACCAATGTTTTGGTCATTTTTTGTGACTTTTGTTTTTCTCTTTTGCAATGTAAAAAATGCTTGATGCATAACTGCTTTTCATCTACAGAAAGCTTTCAGGAACTTCTGAACTTTCACAGCAATCTGGTATTACCTTCACAGCATATACCCATAGACCATCATTTGATTCTTGTCCTGCAGTTCAAATTCCCACAACCCTGGATCCCATTGAATCATCAACAAGTGGTGGTAAGTTAGTTTTAATATTTTGTACTATTAGTAGTTTCAGAAAGCCTTCAGAAAAATATGAAATTCTCATAAGAGTACAAGTATATAGGCGTCTTTTTATAAGCAAAACTCCATCATTCATGATGCCAGTGTTTTTTAACTATTAAAGTTGACCATCTTGACGGTTCTTCCTAATAAGCTATAGGCATAGGTCAGCAATAATTCCATCTAAAATTTTATGTTTACTTTTGAAGATTGTGATTTGCTGAAAATTATTTTGTATTCAGATAACCTATTTTGTTGCAAAGCATGTTTGAATAAAGATGTTGTTGTTCAAATATTTGCGATTGGTATCATGGTGCAATCAAAATTTACTACACATGTATTCCAATTAATATTATGCCATGGGCATAGATGAACTGGTCTTGGCACCAAACTCTATTGTATGCCCATTTATGACTGTGTATGTGTATTTGGAAAAAAGTTTTGCATAGGCGTGTGTAAACAAACCACAAGTCTAAATTTTGTCAATTGCATTTCCAATCTAAAAAGGAACGAAACTGTCTGTTTTCTATAGGCTATATCTCGCAACTATTATACTTTGATAAAAAATATTTCACTTAATGAGCATGAGATTTAGTTTTCTGATCAAAGAAGAATCTGAGGGTTTAGAAATCAATATTGACTTTTTAAACAATCAAACAGTGGTTTGGTGAATTTAAATTCCTTCAGTCCTGAGTGAGTTTATGCCAAGATTTTGTAGTGGATTATGGACCATAGGAATATTGCTCTCTCTGCTCTCATCCATTTCCCCTATTTATGTATGATTGTTTCAAAATGGTGTGGAAAATCTTGTTCACAAAAATATGGATTGGGACTTGGGAGTATTCTATGATACTTTCTATTTCAGCCATAATATCTCAGAATGAAGGTAGATATTCCGAACCTGAATTGGCAGAATTAAAAGGAGGAGGAAGCGAGGTTCAACAAATTCCTCAGAGTTCAAGCGTTTCTGGTGACATCGGATATATACAAACTGACAGTATGACTGAGATTTCACCAGGATTATCCCGCTCAGATGAAATGATGGATCTCACTGGGGAGGTGAGTTCAAGTCCCGGGTATTTTTAATAAAAATAGCTCAACTTTTATAATTTATCGCTAGTTTTAGAGTTTTTTATGTATCCAGATTTCACTGCACAGTTCTAAACAAGTGCAACTTATGAATATAATTTAGCATAGTCAATATATAGTGTTTAAATTGCCTATTAATAAACAAATTTACACTTCATGAAGAAAATGATATTAGGTTGAAATCAAAAAGATATTACAATAATGCTGCATGATTTTTCTCGCCAACACATAGATTTTTGTTTTTCTAAATTCTCATAGTATATACACCAAGTTAAAATTTGATTTATTAGTATTGAATGTAATTATTATTATTATACTTGAGATAATCCTAAAGTACAGGCTTATCTAACTCTATGATGAGTCAGGAATTTGACCTTGCGATTGATAAGTTACAGAAACCAAACCTTCTATTTTATTCTTGTTATTACTTTGAAGTCTGATGCCTCATAAAATTATTGGTATCTTATTTAGGATTAATGAATTTATTCAGACAAAAGGTTTTTAGAATAAAATATAGTGAATTTAGCAAAATTAAATAGTGGTTTTGAAACATTTAGAAAACAACATTTTTTAAAGAGATCAAACAATATCCTGTTATTACTAGAAAATTGCAATGTCCATGAACAATGCTAATGCAATTTTGAAAGTAGTGAAAGTTCGATGGCTGTTTTGTTGCTCAATTTTTTTAAATATGATGTTACAAATCACTACAAAGTATCCTTGATTTATATTGAATGGATATGGATTGGATGTAGAAACTAGGAAGTGTAAAAATTGTTTAAAATTTGGTTGGTCATATAATGTAAATGTCATGGATACGATACATGGATGAAAATATATTTTTGTTTGAAGCAGGTTATTTTTTTGTCAAACTCCACCATGTAGTAATCTGTTGTCGTATGGTATATAATTATGGTGGAATGTATATGATTTATGTTTATTTAACTCTTTCTAGATCTCAGATGAATGACTTGCTTGATCTAATTATGATTGATTTCTTCCAATTTCCCATTTTTTCCAAATGTGGTATATATTAAATATTAATGCTGTCATTTATCAGTTGAAGTTTTAAAATATTCATCTTTGTTCCTATTTTGCACCCTTGACGTCATTGCCTACCGTAAAATATTAAGCCAAGTGACTCCCGTAGTACAGGACCTGAAATTATGGCCTAACCCTAACCTGGTACACATACTATGTTCCGATGTCCGCCAGCTTGGTTCACATACTTCGAGAGTACTGAAAATTATAATGGTTATGTTCAATGTTATGTTGATTTAATACCTGTTTCATTCACAACTAGACTAGGAAAAGTAAAACAAAACGAATGCATGTCATTTATGTTCTGGATATAAATTTATTTAAACCTTCTTTTTATTTTGCAGTCGGATGAACATTTTCAGAGTGGAATGATTGACAGATTGAGTTTAGATGGTGATGATGTTCATGAAATGCCAGGTAATATCCTGAATATTTTTTACAGCTTGGATGATAATGACACTGAAATTGCAAAAAGTCTATAAAGACTAGATCCATTAATCCTGGCCTGACTTGATGTTGTTTCAAGACAGTGTGTGAGTTGGTAATAGAGATGTTTTATTTGTGATAGTTATTGTAGTATAATGGAAAACAATCGTACTGCTCTGGAGCAATGTTTCATTTCTATCCAAGATTTTAAATATTCCTACCTTAAACCAGTGTTCTCCAAACTTTCTCATCGCGTCTGACTTGGCTCTGTCAAAATTTTTTGCCAACCTTAGGAACTAAATAAGAGTAAAATTTAATAATACAGAAAATATGGAAAAAAGTTAATAAAATTGTCAATACCTTTAATGAATCGATGTGCTTTCATATTCTCACTCAAAAGATTGAATCTTGACTTTATTTCGGTGATGGTGGGTCTTAGTACTGGTTTTAAATCTTTCAAATTTGATCAATATTTGTTTTAACATAAGTTAGTGTCGGAAAAAAAATCCGCTGCGGGCGTCCCTTATTGAGCCCTTTCACAGCCAACTGAGGGTAGAGACCCCAACTTGAAGAGCCCTGTCCTAAACTATAGCTGGGCGTTTGATAGTTTGGTTTTGCAAACCCATTTTTTAAATACTTATACTGAAATGTTTCCTGTCAAACCAATTTTCAGCTGTTTTTGAGATAATATCTTTTGTTATACAAATTATGCATTTGTTAAGTTTTACTGTTTTCTTTTCTGCAGATGATCTTGATATCACAGAGGAAAATCAAGTTTTTGCACTTTTTATGAAAGATCATAGATGTTATGACCTTATTCCCACTAGTTCGAAGCTTGTCGTATTTGATACAAAATTACCAGTGAAAAAGGCCTTCTTTGCACTTGTAGCGAATGGTAAGTTTCTAAAAAATTTTGCGGTTATTGGAAAAAGTTTACTTCCCATTGTTTATTGATCTACACTGTTCCGAATTAATGAAATCATGACAAAAAAAAACGATTTGCTGAAGTGATGTTGTCATAGCTGTAGCCTGTAATCTATATCTTTATGTAATCCAACAAAACTATCATTTGTTAATTACTATACAAGTCTTTGGCTTTCTTATATGTAAGTTTTATGTTTATTAAGTTTCAATCGCTTCACGAATTCCAAGGATTTTGATTAGTCTTTGAAAGTAATTGACAATATATTGTAGATAAACTTGTAATACAGAAAATTCATTTTTATGGGAAGAAGTTTTTTGTTTTGTAAAGTAACTGTTGGCATTTATATTAAATATATATATTAAAGTAATGTCACGCTTTCGGTCAATATTGATTGAACTGACCTCAGTGCACCATATTGCTATACGTTCATTAGATTAAATTTCGGACAACACCCTTGCTTATATAAATATCATATTTGGCTAGATTAGAAACAAATCATGTATTATATGGTTTGCACAACGGTGCTGTTTTCAGAGATAATATAATACATTATTTGTTTCTAATTTAGCCAAAAATGATATTTATATAAGCAAGGGTGCTGTTCGAAATTTAATGACCATGTTTACATGAATAAATTCCAAGTTTACTACTATTACAATCTTATATTTCTTTTTAGGTCTGCGTGCAGCTCCACTGTGGAACAGTGAACGCCGCGATTTTCTCGGAATGTTAACAATAACAGATTTTATTAATATATTAAAAACTTATTATAAGTCACCTCTCGTTAAAATGCATGAGCTCGAAAAGCATAAGATTGAAACATGGAGAGATGTTCTACATAGCAGAAAACTTGTGAGCATTGGTCCAGAAGCAAGGTGAGACACAAACAACTATTCCGCAACAAATAGAGGAATATCACTGATAAAACCTCAGTTTTGTTTTTGTTAGTATTTTTGAAATTTTATATGTAGATATTTGGCCATATCAGTATAGTTAGTTTCAAATTATCTACTTTGTCTGTGATGTGAATCTTTTTGTCCAGTATTATCAAGCTGTCAAATATATTTGCATGTCCCGTATTGTTGCAATATTGAACTATTGTCAAAAATGTTAAATTTACTCCTCCCCCTTTTTTGGACATATTTAGATACTAATCCGAAGCTGCTCTATGCATTGTCCTAATAGTCCAAATTGAAATTGCATTTCTACTCTGCCAATGCCATACTTTGTGTTTTCAATTAGAGGTGTTCTACCTATGTTTTATTGTAAATATGTTATCTAATTTGTAATTTTTGCAGTTTATTCCATGGATTGAAAATTTTGGTCCAAAACAAGATTCATCGTTTGCCAGTCATCGAACCAAAGAGCGGAAATCCATTGTATATATTAACGCACAAGAGGCTCCTTAAGTTTCTTTATTTGTTTGTGAGTATCATGAATATTAATGAAAATTTTGACTTGTTGTTTACAGATAAATTTTGGTACTCCGGTAGTGTGTGTACTAGGTTAGGGCATAATTTTATTCTGATCTTTCTTATTTCAGTTCTATTACGAGTTCGGAGACTTTCTGTGTTAGCCTAGTGAATATATAGGTTTTCTATTACGCAACTCAATGTAAAGTGAGCGAACAAAATTAGTTACTTCCATATTGGTACACACACTTCTGGAGCGCCCAAATTTGGTTAATGATTGACTAGTTCAGCGCAAACTTAGCACTGGCAGGTGTGAATGTTCATATATGTGTGACTCGGAGTTCAACCCCTTATTCTTCTTTGAATTCTGGTATATGCTATAATTTGCATAAAAAATGTTTCGTTCAAGGCTGCAATGCTATGTTACTTTACAATGATTTGAGATGTTTTAAATTATTTAGATGAAAGATATGCCAATGCCATCATTCATGCACAAATCCTTGGAAGAACTGAGAGTTGGAACCTATGAAAATATTATAACAGTTACTGAAGACACTCCTGTTATAAGAGCTTTGGTACATTTTGTTGATCACAGAGTCTCAGCTTTACCAGTGCTCGATGAATCTGGTAATGAACAACATACATATTACATTTATAAGATATAGATCTATACAGTTGATGAGGAATTTAAAATCCTGGATATAATGCCATGTAGAAACACATTTGCTATAATTGTATTCTATCGTTCTGTATCGCCCATGCATAAATTTCAAATGTTACATGCTTATGAATAAATATAAATTAAATTTATTGTAACTATTCATAATGAGACCTTCTATAAAAGTATCTTATGTTCAAATTTTGCGACTATTTTACAGCATTGAAATCATTTATTTGCTACAGATTTATTCTCTTTGTATATGCATACAGGCTTGTATACTCGGTTTAGACTAATAAGGTGACAGCATTATGTACAGTAGAAACTCAATTTCCTGATAATTTTAATTAGATATTAGAACCTTGATTGTCACTGCTCGATAACCTCGACAACCCAGTAAAATTGAAAGATTTTTTTGTTTCTCTATATTTTGTGTGAAATTGATTACCTGCCCGAAAAAATAAACTTTACTTGAAGACTTGAGACTCTTGAAAAGTAATCACCTTAAATTATTACAAGAAAATTGCAGTTGATATTTTCAAATCTGGAATAACCTGTAAGAGAAACTTTAAGTTGATAGTGATTACGATTTATTGTTCATTAATTCAGTTTTATTTTTTTTTTAGGAAAAGTTGTTGATGTCTATGCCAAGTTTGACGTTATTGTAAGTTTTTATCAGAATAATTAATTTTATCAGAAATTGTGTCAATCATAGGTTTATTTTGTCTGTCCAGTGCCAATTATTAGAATCAACAATTTGTTCGAATGTTATATCCAAAATTATTCATGCATAATGAATTTTACAAGTTTTTCAAAAATGATTTGAACACCTTCAATTGTAAATGTGATGTCATAGTATACAAGACAATGACAATTCATTTGTCAATATCTAAGTAATCAATACATACAGTACCCAAAATCAGTATTTCATCATATTGAATATAATTATTTTTGAAGAGTTTTTTAAATAGGATTTGATTGCCTTCAATTGCAATTGCGATGTCATAGTATACAAGACAATGACAATTCATTTGTCAATATTTAATCAAGTAATCAATACATACTTATCACATAGAATTTGGCAGCTCAACGCTCTTACAACAACCTCGATGTCACAGTGAAACAAGCATTGAGTCATCGTCAAAAAAGGGCGCCTGGTGGCGTTTTACGATGTTTTTTATCAGATTCACTACTTACAATCGTCAAAAGAGTTGTTGATGCAGAGGTCAGTATAATTGCAGCCAGATAGACAATGGGGATTTAGTGGGTTAAAAACTGATGTAATATATCTAAAATGTGGGCGTGACATAAATATGTGTTGGAAATTTCACTCTGAACATAGTTTTGTTGGATGAGGCAGTTTTATTTATATTATTGCAAATTGGCACCATTTTTAATGTCCATTTGAAGCTGGGGTTAATCAATTTTCAACGTGGGAATATTAGTTTTGGGTAACAAAAAGTGTGGCACTAAAATACCACCGCTGTGTTCCCAAATTTTTTTATACATAGTCCAATCAGTACACAAGTATTGTGTGTACCACGTTAGGCTTAGGCCATAATTTTATTCCTATTTACCTTATTTTAGTTCTATTACGAGTTCGGAGACTGTCTGTGTTAGCCAAGTGAATATACCCTTTGCCCATAGGTTTCAGTCCCTTTATACACAACCTGATGTAAAGTAGGCAAACAAAATTAGTTACCTCCATATTGGTACACACACTTCTGGAGCGCCGTTTAATCTGCTTTAGTAGAGTAGTATGATATCAGAGTGCATCATCAACATAATATCAAATAATATTTTTAGCCATCCAGGTGCATTGACAATTACACATATAGTTTAACAAATCATTTTTTAAAGAATGCTAAGCAATTGAAATCTCATGCAAAATCATAATTTTAGAAGACCAAAAGAATGAGTGAAATATGAATGTCACAAGAATTCTTATATAGTCAAAAGTACCGAAGATCATTATTATAGGAAATAATCAACCATGTTGGTGGCATAATGTATTTAATTGTACTTGTATTTAATAGGTTCATCGACTGGTTGTGGTTGATCAGGAAGATAGGGTCATTGGAATTGTATCATTGTCAGACATGTTATCTCGTATGGTACTGAAACCATTTCAAGACTAAAAACATTGACATTTTTCAATGAATTTCGTTTTGAAAACTTGACTTCACGATGTTTCAATTCACATGCACTTCACTTAAATCGATGGCCAATTGAATCAAAAATCTTTTATGTTTAAATTTTGATTCTGATTTGCATTAGATACCTCTGCCATTCTTTCATGATTCTTTTATTGTAGCATACTCAAGAGTAGTACTGAGCTACGTTATATGTGATGGCATTTGTCTACTATAAATTTGTTCTGCAGCAAAATTGGAGTAGATACCTATACTCTTTGCCTGGGGGGATTGGAGAAGACATTGTCGAAAAATACTTATATAACTTGGAATTGTTTAATTTTGTATCACAGTATAAATATTGGAGTCTAAAAAGATTTTGATATATTTGAAATTGTTATACCGTCTCCACGTGTCATTATTTATATATATATATATATCAAAATTATAGGAATTGAGATTTTTGCAGCTTATATTCGCAATATTGCGAAATCTATGTATCATTCTCATATGTCGCATCTGCCTGAAATTGAATGATTAATTATTGTTAATTTTTATAACATTTTATCCAACTTGAAATTTGCTCATGTTCGATATAATTTAGACTCTGATGTTTTCTAACATTTCGTATGCATGTTTGTTTTCTGTTGAAAAGTGTAGTTTTGAGAATAATAACCTTTAAATTATTCAAGCACAGCATGCCAAGAACGTTATTCTATATTCCAGACATGAAGATAGTATATCTCCTTTTTAGGTTTGGATAAGTTCTCTGAGTGTCTATTTTTTTTTTCAATCATCTAATAGAAACATTGAATTGCAAGGTCGTTTAGTTCAAGTTGTGTTCAGGAAACTATTCAAACCTTTTTTTTGTATGTCCAAATACCAGATGACACAACAATATATTTAGCAGGTGATTCATTCATTGTTATGTCATATGTAATGTTAGTTTTTGAACAAAATAAAAAATGGACCTTTTTATCTGGTTGATTGTTAAGCCTGCATGACTGAAAAGTATTGAAACTTCATTGTCTTTTCATCTATGTCGTCTCATCACATTGAATAGTCTTTTTTGAGAAAATGTCTTTTATTTTACTTTAAAAAGAAAATAATATCAACTAATTTCTAGTCCCAATCGTATTCTATTACAGATTTTCTTGTGTCATTATTTATATGATTTCAAGTTGTCGCAGTAGTTGAATGTTTAACATAACCCATATTTTTTGCTTATTTTATAACGTTTTTTTATTCACTAGTCAATGTTTCATGGTTTGCACTGCGGCTTTGAAAAGTCCTATCACTTGGAATATATTGATCATTTTTAACTTAATTAGTCTCTTTATTGAAGGGGTCCTAACTAGAAAAATTAAGTACTCGTTAGATAAGCTCAGTATGTGGCTGGTAATCCAGTCCTGTGACATTGCTTTTTGTGGCAGAGAAATTTCAATTGACTACGCATAACTGAGTTGATTAATATGGAGTTGTCGACTTAGCCTTGAGTGGTCCTTCAGCAGCTTGGAGTTTTATTAGAATCATACGAGAAATAGGGCTGAAAAGACTGTGTATAGATAATTTTATACTGGTGTACGTACCCCTACTTTCTGTTTCAAAATAGTGACGTGTTAAGGCTGCTTGGTAACTTGCTATGTAAGTTTAAGAGAGAGGCCCCATTGCCCTAAATGCGTTTTGGTGAGTCCTTGGCTGAAAATATGTTGTGAAGGCAGATCTCTAATGATACCTGGTACATCATTTGCTATGGGGACATCTACAATACAAGACATCTTGCAAATTCTAAAATAACAGTATATAAGAAAGATCCGTGTTTATCTTATGATGGAGGTTGTAAAGCTCATTATTCGATCGTAGCAATGAATCTTTTGAATGATAGAAATAAAGCGTTGTACAAAGTTTTTATGTTTCTCCTCTAATCAAGGGTAAATTTTTACCGAGGCCGAGAAGTCTCAAAATTAATCACGGCTCGGCTAACTGCGAACAACTGCTCGGACATCTCTTTTGTTTCATTGAATGTTTCCCCGAGCATCGGTTTCCGTAACAAATACAAAACAGTAATAAGTCAACAATGACGTAACAACTGGAATTTATGGGCCTCTCAGAAAGATATGCAAACTAGAATTATATCGGACATTTTTTCAGTTTCCGTTAAATGCAGACCGATATTTCCCATATATATATTTAGTTTTTTAATCCGTTCTAGAATGTTTTAAAAATTAAGCTAGAATACGGATGTTAAAATTGTTTTTGCGTGGAGATCGATGTTCGCGGTATTTTACTCGTTAACTCTGAGACATGCCCCCACCTCCCCGCGAGTAGAAATGGGAACAGGATTCTGATCTGTTTTTAGCCATTTGCCAGCCAACCTAGCTCAACCAGTTTGGCTATTTTTGCTGTCAAAATTATTACATTATTATTTATTATATATCTTTTCTTTTGACATTTTAATATGACATGTTGATTATGAACAAATATATCAATCGAATATTTTCAAATGTGTATAATACAAAATATGACGTTATATTTGCACAAAATCCTGCAACTCAGTGTATCGGTTCGATAGTTTAGTGAACATTTATTTATTCTACCAGCTATCGTAGCCAAACCCTATGAGATTTTTAATTGAACACCTTGTTTACGAACGCCGGTGCACAATGCATCCGAATCAATTAAAGCATACCGGAATATCGGATTTTCAAAATATCGGTATCGGTGAAAAATATGGTATCGGTAGGCCTACATCTCTAAGCCAAACGTGGTTGTAAACATTGCCTCTTTTTAGTAGTTTTGCGTAATATTCGTCAGTTTTTAGTTGTGTTTGTCATTATGGATGGGATCTTTAGTTTAGTTGCAATAATCAAAATTGATACTGCAAACGCTGCGATAGACTAGCTTAAAATTAGCTATCAGTACCTATAAGCGACGCGTGGTTTATTGTTTTTAATAAAAATGATAGTTTTGGTCATAAAAATCAGTTCGTAAGTGCCAACTCTCCAAAACACTCAAAATCAGCGTTGAAAATTTTGTAATGAGAAAGTATAGGGAGAATCTTTCAGGGGCCAAGGGTTGGGGAAACGTCCATTCAAGCATGGGTATGTACAATGCCTCGTTTCATGGTTTTACGTCTTATTTGTCAGTTTTAACTTGTGTACCCAAAAACTAGTTCTGAATCGAATAAATTTCGTTTGTTTTGTAGTAAGTGGCATAAGCGAACTCCCCGGGCATCGATTGATTTCCTTGTTTATTTCCATGACCAATCGTACTCAAAGTTTGCCCACCACTGAATAAAATAAAAGAAGCTTTTGAAATTTGCACATAAAAATTGAGTATTTTTTATTCAAATTCGGATATCTTCATAAAATTCAGCTTCTAATCAAAAAATCCCAATATACTAAAAACAATACCCTTGTAGTATCTGACCATAGTTTGATGCAATATCCGCCTAAGTTTTCAATAAAAAGTTGCAGGAGTTTAAAATCAAAATGCTTTCTCGATTCGAAACAGGTTTTTCCCCTTTTGGTAAATTCTTCGCATTGAAAAAAACTGTTACGTGAACTTCCGGTGCCCCACGCGGTTGGATTGGATTATACAAATAACTGGTTAACCGAGAGATATTTTTCTATTTGATATCCGGATATTTTTGTGACGGTTAACCTATAATAAATAACATAAATAATTCATATGATCACTAGTGATTTTAACATTTTTTGTTAGGAGGCGGTTGACGTCTCCCAGAGCATATAATAACAACTTTCATTCCCTTTTTTTAGCCATCCGTAAAATGATGGAGTGACATTTACTATCACATCACAAAATACGCAAAACAAAAGTGAATATTATAGAAGAACGCATTCTCTTTATAGAGTTAGTTCGGAAGTATATTCAATTTCGTTTATTATTCCAGATCGTTGAGGTCCATAGGACCATATCAATATCAAATAATACAAACAAATGAATGGATACAGTACATGAAAATACAAAAAGATCACAGTAAAATATACGGTATAAGCAAGGATGTAAACGAATCAGTTGAAAAGCTTTGAAGGGATGGGGCAGGATAGCGGACTTGGTGATGACTATTTTTTTCTGTCGCTGTTTTTCCGTTTGCGTTCGCGTATATTGTCGGGCGAAAGGGGAAGTTTTTTTGGTTCGGAACTGGACACAACCTGCCAACAGGCTACTACACGACCGACGCTTCGTGGGATATGTAGACTATCATCGAGGCTCGCTGGTTGTGAAAAGCCCGGCCCTATCCTACATTTGAAATTTGTTTGTGGTCTGGCGCGACTGGGTGGTACATTTTGATCTTTATATGAAGCTCTGCTTACTATCCAGCCTACCTCTGCAAAAACAGAATGAGCATTCAGTGCATCTGGGCTGTTCGTCACAAAACTTCCTAATGATATTGCTATGCCATTGAAAGTCAATAATTTGCCATAGTTCAATTTTTCGATCGTAGCCGGATTTAAGCTAATTTGTATGACGCAGTCATGTGACGTCATAATGGCGCACTGTGAACTTAGGCAGAAATGTGTCTTTGACTAGGGGACACACGCAATTTTGCAACTTGACTATATGTACCAGTCCTGAAAACCAAACAATCCAAAAACGAATGTAATTCTTAGTATATACAATGTCTAATCCCCAAAATAGCTAATCTGTCCCAATTACATTATTTTTTATGTTTAAAAATATTTATTTCATCAATATAACACGCTCTGCACATCCACCGAAATAAGACTAAGTTAACTATAAAGAATAAAACAGCAATGTACCCTTATATAAAAGCCAACCAAGGTGATTGGGACTCAGATAGTGAATATCACAAGTAGGCTACACGCCTTCCTATGCTGTAGTATAAATTAGAATTTATAAGCGCCAAGCTAGAATCTGAGATGCAAAAACAATGTTAATTCAATATGACTACACAATTGTAGAAATTTGCATATCATACAAAATCTCTATTTTTATGGGTTTCGGAATTCTTAAAATAAAATCTGAGTTAACAGACAGATGCGCAGTATTACATAAATACCTATTTTATGAAAAACTCAAAACCGCCAAAAATGACTTACGCGATTCGGTTATTAGCGTGACGATTCTATGGCTTGCACAGTTTGTATGTTTACACCACTGGGGAGTAGATTCCGATTTCTTCTTTTCTCAGTTATTTGCCATACCTTCGTTAAGTATATGAAACATTGCTACCGATTTTTAGTGGATTTTATCTCCGCTGTATAGTAGTTTTTCTGGATACTTTTCACCAAAATATGCTAGAAATGCAGGGCTTTCTTCATGTTGTCAAATCGATTTTCAAACAAATAGCAGGAACGGTTAACTAGCTAACGGTTTTAACTATCTGGAAAGTAAAAATTATAGATATCCGAACGAACCATATTTGTACTGAATACAATTATGAACGAACCTTATGGACGTTCCCCGACCCTTGACCCATGAAAAAATATCTCCCTATTCTTCACGTTGTTAAATTTTTGACGCCTATTTTAAGAGTATTTTGGAAGATTGGTGCATACTAACAGGCTTACATGTTCAAAATTCTCATTTTTATTAAAACAATAATCCACGTGCGCTTACAGGTACTGTTACCTAATTTCAGGATAGTCTATCGCCAGGTTTGCGGGATAAATTTTATATTATTGCAACTAAACTAATAGTCTTCGGTAGACACAATGACAATTAAGTCATTTGATTTACACCTATTTTGTGGAAACACACCTAAAAACTGAAAAATAATACGAAAACGAGGCAAAGTTTACAACCATGCTTAGATATCTGTCTGAGCGAAAATGGTGTATGAGCGGCTGCACAACATGCAAGTGTTACGTCATTGTTGAGTTATTGGTGATTGATTATTGTTACAGACATAAATAAGGGAATCGATGTTCGGGGAACAGCCGTTACGCTAGCTAGCGGGTTACAGACTTCTCATTTTCACCGCAAACGTTTCGCCAAGCACTTTTTCGATCACTAGGTGGCATATGACTGACTGAGCTATGACTTCGACTCCTCATGCTCATACCAAAGTGACTATAAACTACTGCTTTATCGTTAACTTGTTTTGTGTTCTTTCCATTGTGGATGTATTATTTTTTCGTTTTCCTTATTTTTTTTCTATTCAAATGTTCATTTTTCGGGAATGGGATCTAATCAAATTTGGATGGGAAGGTAATTAAATTCGATCGATTGGCAAAAAATAACTTGTTTGAAAATAATGATTGGCCTATAAATACAAATATAACGTTATATAGTCTACCTACTCGGTACTCCACAAATATTTATTTATGGAAATTTATTCACTACAGTGGTGCTGTAGTGACTGCCGACCTGTAGGTACACTATTTTGTTGTGGGTTGGCCTAGGCTGCCGCTACCTAGAGTTTGGTCCCTACGTTTTTAACTTTTTCCTGAACAGAATTCTCGTCGTCCATGTATTTCTGCATTTTCTTGTTGTTTTGTTTCCTTGGCAGCCCCTGTACCGGTATCAGGAACAATGTACTTGTTTCAGTATTTAACTATTAACTTACTGGACTGAGTTTTGGTTTGGCCACATGATTAAGGGGTTGCAGTTCCTACCACTTTATGGCAGCTCCTGCCATGAACAAAGGCGTCTCTTGCCATGGTTTTATGGTGCTATTCAGTAATTAGTAATACCGGTATATTTACAAATTCATGTACCAGATTTTAGTTTATTATGCAGAATTATATCTACCCAAACCTGAAACGTACGTTAACCCTGTAACCCCAAAACTGTATCCATATGATAGAGATACTGATAAGTGATAACCAAAAAAATAGAACTGTTTTAAATTTAATAGAATTCAACATAGGGCAACAATCAACTGTATATTATGGTTTGTCTGTAAATAATAGTGTCAAACATAGTTTACAACCTCATAAGATTTATAAACTCATTATAGAATTTATGAAAATGCATAAAATTACTTTACTAGAAGCTAGGCAAGAATATCATAGAGTATTGTATAACAAAATAATCAACTCACTAAAGAGTGAAAGAATGGTATTTCTTTGCAGAAGTAATATTGAAAAACCATGTTCAAATATTCACAATGACATTTTAGCAAATTATGTGAAAAGTTTCAATTATAAATTAATGTGGAATATTTTGCCACTCAAATGTGTATCTAGAATTAGATTTATTGCTGGAAATGACTTGTGTGTTATGTGTGATATAGAAACAGAATTAGTATCACATTTGTTTATGAATTGTCCGTTTGTAAAACAAGTATATGATTATGTTTTTTTGATTATAATGAAAATAACTGTCAGAAACAATTCAATTGATTATGAAACTTGTGTATTATTAGATTTGAGTAACCATTATTATGAACATTTATCAAATGTAGAAAAAAATGCTATTATTTTGTTATTGTCTATTACTAGGTATAAGATTTGGTTGCATCGAAATGCAGTAATTTTTCAAAATGTTATGCCAAGTGGTAATAGTGTAATAAACAAAGTTAAAAATGCTTCAAAATGTAGAAATAAAGTAGAGAAACTCAAAAATTCACCCAATTTCACAAGAGAGCTAAGATTATTATGTAACTGTGTATGAAGAGTATTATCTACAAAGTATATATACAAATGTCTATGTAAGTGTATTTAATTAGTAGATAAATAACAATTGGAAAAACTTGTTTTTACATGATTTTACAAAAAAACTCTATCCATAAGAAAGATATTCCAACTTACCCAATATTTGTCATCATCAGGGGCAGCCCTGCCATTACAGCTGACATGCCTTGGTTACGGCGGCAAAATTTTATCCGCCATTGATTTTCAATTTGCTGCCTTGGTACCGGCATCTTACCATTGGTTTGTGGCAGCTAAAAAGTCAGTTGCCGCAATTTGGCCCTAGCGGCCATTGTTTCAGAAGTCCCGCCATGGTTTTGCGGCAGCTTCAGACTCCACAAAATACCTAAAACTGCACTTGTAATTAGGTTGTCGATATTCGGTTTTACTGAATTATTATGAAAAATCTTGCTCTTGTGTCCCATTGAAATGGGGTAATTCATATGTTCAAAATAAAAAAAAATTACACAGATTTTCTGCTAACTTACTGGGTTTCATTGAATCCTTTATATCAATTTTTTCGAAAAATTTGCCCAGTACTGCAGTACCAGTGATATCACCTGTGCCTCAAAGTCAAATTGCCTCGCATCTCTTGATTTAGGGACTTCTACCCTGCCCAACAGCATCAGACCATATGTAGTGATACCTCGAGAGTCGAATAACTCAATACTGGAACAATTCGGTGGTCGACCAAAACATTAGTAGTGCCAGTGGACTACCGACAATGCGATTAATGCAAAAGCGTCTCCGCCACAGCAATTTGGATGATGTCATAAAACTCATAACACACAAAAAAACGAATTTCATAGAGCAGTGGTTCCCAAACTGTGGGTAGCGACCCCGGATGGGGTCGCGTGAAGATCTTCCGGGGTCGCCTAATTTCTGTCAAAAATGTGCACACAAGTGAATATAGGATTTGGAATGGTCGGCAGGTACCGTGAAAGTATCTAACTTCGGATTTTTCATGCGGTACCTAACCTTTTCAGATGGTCGGCAGGTACCATATTAGTGAATGTAATTGAATGACAGTGTTACAACAACTTACGAGCGCTAATAATATTCTCCTTTTTGATCATGTTACATCCGAATGAGTAGTGGACCCTCTGGTTCGCGAATCAGATTTTTTGCCAGACTGCAAGAAATTATGTTGGTTTCGAATATACGAAGCAAAGTTGCTTTCTTAGGTGTTTGACAAGTATGGTATTGATTGCCAGGCGGGTAATTACATTTCAGGTTTTGATCAGTTGCGAAAGCGCTTTGTTAATTCGCGCATGTGTCTAAAATCGACCAGTGGGCTACGTGTTTTGTCCACATCGCCTTCACATAAAAGTGAACATTTTGTATTGCAATATTACATATTTAGACGTTTCATACGTAATTTCAAAGCGTTCCGAGAACTCAAAAACCACAAGTTCTAGCATAATAAAAGGCACTCAAAAGATTTGATTCCTCACACGTTTTTTCCTATTTTACTTTCATGCTCTGTTTTATTTTTAAAATAATATTGGAGCAATCTGTAATATGTTTATATAGAACAAGACACTTTTGAAATATACTAAATAAGATTCTAAATTTATGTATATTTAGAAGCAATCATACTATTTCCTACTAAGTATCATACGCTTCTTTACAATCTACGACATTTTATCAAGTTTGTCAATGTTTCGCCAAAGAACCGCTATAATTATGATCTGAGAGATTTTTACATCATAGTTTTCATACGATTTCATGTGTTATCAAATCTTTTGGGGTTTTCTAGCGCGTTACCGGACTCGTTCATATATATTTTTAGCTAATATTTGTCGTAAACATCCACTTACAGTCGATATACAGGTACATTGTTCCCATTGAGGTCATTTTGAAGTTGCTCAACGTTTCAAGTTGTGGGGTCGCGAGTATCTGTAGGCTTTGGTTTTTCATGAAAATTGGGGTCGCAAAAAAAAAAGTTTGTGAACCACTGCCATAGCTCAAAAAAATTTGTTTTAACCTAGAGTAAAATAGTTTATATCTCAATTATATACATATTTAAATAATTGTTGTTGTTCAGGTACACATTTTGATTATAATTGAATGCATAAGAATGAATAAAATAATTACCTTTGTTTCATTATGGCAAAAAAGGTTTCGATACTCGAACAAATCAGTAGTCTAACATCAGTCCTGAACAGATTATGTTAACTACCATCACTGTATTGCACTTGTTATTGTTTTTCATTCACATTGGTTTGCCGCAAAAGCTTTGCATAGTATGTAAGCTGGCTTATTGCCAACCTCTGAGGCAATATTTTGATTGTTTTTTGCATTATTGCAGTGATTAAATTACATAATTGCTTAGCTTGCATCAAATATGGAAAATCCTGTTGAATCTGGAGATTTTTTGCCACCAATTATGCAGGTACATGCAATTCTTTTCTGTTTACATATTTATAAAGATATTTGAATGCCATTTCAAACTCGGATATTACTGTTAAGTAATTTTGTTATTCCACTCAAGCACAAGTTCTATAATTAGCACGGCAGTATGGTTTGGCCGCTGGTATTTATTTAACCATCCTAACAAACCTTTTTTTTGCCTGATTCAAGGTATATCTATGTAAATGTCTATTCGGTCCAAGAATGTTGTTCGTGCACTTGAGATGTGTTTTTGACATGGCCACATTTTCTACACCCTTCACCACCATTTCAGTAGTTAACGAGATTTTTAATTAAAATGGTATCAAGTATTTTATGTTTAGCATTTTATCCAACAAAACTGTTGAATTCAAAGTGTTTTCAAACATGCCATTGACACTTTAAACTTTTGGTTGATGTTTAGGGATCAAGCAGTGGGGGAACTTTGAAGGGGAGTTTGAAAGGATGGAGAGAAGTAATTGTTGTTCTTGCTAAACTTCTGAAGTGGCAACAAGCATACTACGCAGCTATTGTTTTTGCGATTGTCTCATTATTTTTTTCGTAAGTTGAACCTGTTTTCAAAATGTATCATTGTCAAGAGAATTTATTTATAGTTAACATCATAGTAAAAAGTATGTATAAGCCACACAGAATATAAGTTTTGGTCTTACCCAAATAACTCATGAACAGTTTCGGACGATCAGTAACTGTATTTTGACACCAATAAATTTGGGTTGAGTCTATTGCACAACTGGAACACAAGTGAAAAGCAATTGATAGACTTTATTATTATATGTATAAATAATTTCCATTTGCAAAGAAATAACATAAATATTGTTACAGTCAAATTAGAATTTACTTTGTTCTAAATAATCTGTTTCGTTTGAATCCGTCTGGTTTCTTTTGACTCTTGGTTCAATAAAATTGATTGGACTCCAGCTCTGAAGTCAGACTCAAAAGTAAAACCAAATTTTGATTAAAGCTTTTAGTTCCATCGATACAGAGTAAAATTTTCAATTTTCTATTCTATTTAGGTTAATTTGGTGGTTAGACCCATCTGTGGTTACTGGATTCTCAATGTTGATCATGATTGCATGTATCGCTGACTATGTTGTGCCACTCGCAATGCCTATGATTTTTCCAGAAACAAGCTGGTATGTTGCGTCTGTTTTGTTATTTTCAGTTTCGTACATTAGCGCACTGCTCTCTGTGTTATTGGATCTGTGAGTTTTTTTTCATCCAGATTTATTATCTGGACAAAATTTAACACCCTTTGTTGATGATCGAACACTTTTGTGTCGTTAATGTATTTCTCTGCATTTTTATGAATGTTTGATCAGATCACAGTAAAAGCGATACCTGCATTAACCACTGTCAACAAATGACCTCTCTCAGACAGTTAAGATGTCTGTTCATCGAGTGCACGCATTGTGAACAATCAATACTGTGTTGTCGCATATTATATATTATTATGCAATTAATTTTGTATTTGCATTTTGGAAGGTCAATTCTTTGCCATAAAGTAACTTTCACTTATGTATGATGTTCTTACCTTTATGATTAGGCGATTTTAGTTATCTGGACTGAATAAAACACTGGTTAATGTCTAGAGTTTTCATTTTTTAACAAGCTTGGGCCATCCATAAAATGCTGCCATTGCATAATACAGCTAAAATTTATATGTTGCATCACCATTTCCTTCCTGTGCACTCACGTCATGACTTTATTGTGTGTGACTGTCTATGCGATGAAGCGTTTCGCATGCAAAATTCCCAAAACAGCTAGTCTGTAGATTGCAACAAAAAAGCTAATGGTGCTAAATAATTTAAATTTTTGTCTGTAATATATTCCATTCAGAACTCCTGGCTATTACAGAATTTCTATTAATTGATAGATCAAGCTTTGTTTCATTATTATTCAGGCATGCTCACAGAATATTTCTATTTACCGTATGTTATTTATGTATATTATGGTTTTTTGAAAATTTAGGTGTTATTTTGTCGAAAATTGTTTATAGACTACTATATAAATTGATGTAAAATACATTTAGTCAAAATAATTTCAGTAGAAAATTTCAAAAGTAATATAAGACTTAAACATATACACACATAATCCACAGGCAAAGCTCACTAATATAGATTCTGGAAAAGGTTATGACATTGATATATTTTATATAATTTTTATATGCTGAATAGATTTCCAAATATATATGTGAATTTGAGTTCAAATATTTTCAATAAAACTTTATATCATGATACATTGCAGGAGTAGCGATAAAGAGAAACAATACGTACAAGCCTGTGATGGACTGGTACAGTCAAAGAAGATTATTTCCAGTTTGTTCTCCAATGCCGGAAAACTGAAGGATAAGAATCCATGGTTGTACATGGCTGCGATCACCGTATCACTCAGTACATTAGCATGGCTTGGAAATCAAATGCATAACCTGCTGCTTGCCTATTTCTTCGGTAAGAATTGCCATTTTCTAACTCTCAACTTATCACGGAAACAAAGTTGCTGCAAGACATTGGAGTTCCCTAATAATGGTATTTTAAAAATTATATTTGCCACCAATCAGGTATACTGACTGAAGTCCATATAATAAAAAAGCAGTTCAAAGATAGAAACCCTGAATCATTAAGGTCATTAAAATGACCTGACCCAAAAATAAGGGTCCTCTCATAGTATATACCAGGTTAGGGTTAGGCCATAATTTTATCCCGATTTTCCTAAAGCTTTTCGGTTGAACTGAGAATATTTTAGTTCTATAACGAGTTCTGGGACTGTCTGTGTTAATCAAGTGAACATACCCCCTGCCCATAGGTTTCAGTCCCTTCATCCAACTTGATGTAAAGTAGGCAACAAAATTGGTTACCTCCATATTGGTACATACACTTCTGGAGCACCATTTTTTGCTATGTTCTATATTCTCGATTAAATAGGTATTTTATGTCCAAATTATGTGTATTTACAGTTTTGATTGTATCTGCTTTGCCTGGCCTTAGTGAGCATGGAATTCTGGACAAGATTGCAACACATGTGAAAAAAGTTATCAACAAGCAAAAGTCTCAGTAATCATAATCTGTTTGTTCATTTGACTATTTAATGTCCCGTGTAATCGTATTCATAATTTTAGGAATACAAGCATTTTCTTGTAATGTCCAGTTATTATTTTCGGAACCTGAAATCGAAAAGCAATCTTTAAGCATACAGCATTTGTGGACTTGTTGATAGTCAGCTTATAATTGTCATGTCAATCTATTTTGTCAAATTATACTTCATTGGCATAAAGCCGTTTAATAGGTAGTATTAATTATATGTAGTGCTGTATTACGCTTTGAAGTTTGAAATTTTCTTGCACATATCAGATGAAATAGCTGCGAATTTTCTAGACATGAGTGGAATATGGAGTGTGATGTTTAATCTGGTCCTGTTATTTTTTGAAATAGAAGGGTCTGCTAAGCAACTTGCTATTACATTCCTCACGAGATTATTTTAATTCTTTTTTTGCTGCATGGTTTCTTCATATGATCCATAAAGCATCCAGTCTACTCACATTATGATGTAGAAACTGTTTGTAGGATTTTGTATACATTATTGTGATATTTTGTTTCTCATGATTTTTTGTTATATAGGGTATTATTAGATGTATGTGTGCATGTGTGATTTCGTTGTTTTTCGACTGTACTGCCAACATATTTTAAGTTGTGAATAAACACATTGTGGTCACCAGCTATTGAAGTCGCCTTTGAAAGAATGGAGTTGTGATCAAAGTTTTCCCGTTTCACTTTGTGAAGACTTACTTTAATTGGGCCATTTATTCACTACTCGACATTCCTATCACCTGGGTAAAATTTTAGCGCATTTGAAAGTGGAGAAATTTGTTAATAAGATTGAAAAAATAAAAAACAAATAATCCCTGTAAAGCGACGAAAGAACTGCAAATAAAAATTGAACCGTATAGGCAAGCGTTATAAAACTAATAATAACTTTGTCATTCATGGTGGTCTATAGCCGAGCGTGAATTTGTTGTGAGATGGAAAATACAAACGTATTTGGATCCACAGGGCTCCAATTATCTTGGGGTGGTCAACCAGGTTAGTAGTTCAATTAAAAACTCTTACGCAAGCACACATACGTAATAATTCAATTCGTTTATTACACCAGACCCTTATGGTCCATACCAAATAACACAGATCCAAAAATAGCGCAGTAAATCTAGATATCACAGTAAAAAACCATAATAACAGCTAATATGAATTAAATTCGCAGTAAAATACCGCAAACAACAGCTAATATGAATTAAAATAACAGTTAATATAAATTAAATTTACAGTAAATTACCGCAATGCAGCTAATAAGAATTAAAATCACAATGAAATACCGCAATATTAGCAAATTAACAGCTAATACGAATCAAATCCGTAATATCCCAATGAAGAAAAACAGCCAAATTGCTGGATCTAATAACGGCCCGACCTCTTAAGACTCAAAAAAGAGTTCGTCATAGCCCATATAGTAGGGGTCGGCAACCTACGGCCCGCGGGCCGGGTATGGCATATAATCCGAGCACTATAATCCGGCCCGCGACGCTTCACTAAATTATATTAAAAAACATCCGTTTTGACGAATATATTCTTTAGACTAAATTATATTATAACCTAACAATTATTTATTTCACAATTACTCGTTTAATGAGCATATATATAACTTAATTATAATTAAGCAAATGGCAACAAAACGCAGAAAAGTTGATGCTAAGTGCAAATGGTTTAATGGCGATGAAAATATTCAAATGGGATTTTATGAGATGCAATGAGGAAATAAATCTATATTCTATTCGAGAGATGTATCACCGCTTGATGTTTATTATGAAAAGTACCATCCGTTCGGTTTTTCAACTTTCTAAAAATATGTGCGGCCCGCCAATGACTTGCAACCTTAATTTTGGCCGGCGAGCGACAAAGGGTTGCCGACCCCTGCCATAGAGGCTTACTTTATATAATAAAACTTAAGAGACCATAAGTGAGAAAATCACAGCTGTTCTGGCGGTGTGCTCTCGACCAATTACATCGACATCGCGCCGGATGAACCTGCTTCTGCACCCAATTGTACCATGGCATTCCTTGATGGGTGTCTCGAAAATGTCGTGTCTCACTCGTTTCCATTATATAGGTATTATTAAAGTGTTTTCGTTTCAAGACCAAAAAATGTTCATCCGGAGAAATTTTGCATGTCAGCGTTTAGTTTCATCAAATATCATGCTTCGCGGACTTTAGATGCACGCTTCATTCACCTAATTTCTGTTTGGCCTAAAATCACAGAAAATCGATGACTTGCTTTCTTTGTATATATCATATAAATTTAAGACCTGACTGATTAACGTTGATAAGATAATATTATTTTATCACCGTAAACAATACAAATAGAATCTATTCGTTCACGCTATTTAAATGAAATGTTTTGTCTTTGCCAATTTGTATATATATATATATATATATATTTATGGCTTAAATAATACAGAAAATCGGCGGTTACCAATCTTTGACGGCCTTGTTACATGCATACCGCCTCCTTCGTGCCTAAGGGTGGAATAGTAAACCTATTCTGTCATATACATTTCTATCAATATAATCGGAGATTTTTGTTATCGACCCATTTGAGATTTGTCCAGATCAACGACTGTCCAGATCAAACATTTTTAATAATATTCACCTATTGTCTCAGTTGGAGGATATCGATATTTAGGTACCCTAGCGTAATTCATCAAATCCCAATTTTCATAATCTTTCAAGATAATAACAACAAAAACAATATAAAAAGCTAGTTAAAATATATTTCGAGCGTTGTACGTAGTTTGAAACAGTGGTCGGCAACAATCGGGAAGCAGTGCAATATCATGTCGTTAGAGGCAATATGACCATGATATACATTTGCTCATCTCAAATTTGAACACGGTATGATGAAATGATATGAGTTTACGCAAAATAATAGTCAACAAAGAAAATTTATCGTTAATTAATGTCGAACATTAGAATTCGCTTGGGTTATACAGTTGAGTTGGACCTTCAAGTTAAGTAAAAGAAGTGTTTTCCAATTTGCTCTTTCCAAAAGTGCCTCCTCCAGGAGTCACCGAGAACACCAATCTCACCACTATTGTATTGAACTGAAAACCTCTGGATGGGGACTTCCATTACCATGTTTAAATGATTTCCATGTTCAAATGATTTAAAAATGACGAGAAAGGACATCCCTGACGGACTTCTCTACTATATGGAATGGGGGACGTGTCACATCAATAGGGAACACGTTGTCCATGTGAACGTCAGCAACAATTCCAACATGTACCCAGTGGTGGGATTCAAATTTTTTGTCAGACGGTTCCATAACGAAAGTCATATTTTTCAGCCGGTTCTGTTACAAAAAGTCATATATTTTTAGCATAAACCAGTAATGCTAACCGGTTTGCTGTTCTCATTAAATTCCGTGAGACGGTTCTATAGAACCGGCTGAATCCCACCACTGCATGTACCTCGTGCACCAAAATATCGCAAGACTTTTGAGAATGACACCATGTCTGACCATCACGAAAGCACTGTGGATGTCAGACCACGTCACGATTACGCTTATGTTTTTTGGCATCTACAATGACCGACCCCCTGGCTGGTCAAGTGTGAAGATTACGTGCGATCACGACTGCATGGATCTTATACAGTCTGCGGCTGCGATGGGTCTCCAGTTCCCGGCGATATTCATGTCGACCTCCACGTCCCTAATAATGGGAGTTTTTACAGAAAAAACGCCATGAATCTAAAATACGCCAAGAACTCCTACTGATGTCGGAGAGCTTATAAATAATCCCACACCGTTGGTCAGTACTAGGTGCGCCCAGCTGATCCTGGGAAAGCACTAGATTTTAAAACCCTACATAACCGGATAAACTTCTGCCGTACACACGTAGTGGACATAGCGATTGTAGTTCTTTGACACGTTTTGAAGAAATCGCTTTTCTCTTTGATTTCTGGACCAATTGCTTTCAAATTTTCAGTGGTTAAAGATAAAATTTTTCTTCAAAGGGCTATTACTTTTTTTCGCTATGACGTCATCAAAATTATGTGGCTCTAAGTGTCCATATATTTGAGCATAGCTTTCTTGTGGTAATAAGCATGTTATAGCAAGTGTAGAAATAAGATACAGACCCGGAAGCAACAAACAGATGCCATATTGCATGAGCACATGAAATTCAGTCATCACTCTTGAAGACGATAACTCCGCTTAGAATATTAGATAGAAGAATCCCCCGACTGATAAAGCTTGTAAACGCTGGTGCTGGTTTTAAAATATTCTGTTCATCTTTCATGTGCCATGAGTTTATACTAGGAAACTCAGTTGGATTGAAGTTGCCTTTCTTTAAACTTGCATGTAAACTTGCTCTGAATTGGTCGAACAACTTTGCTTCATTGATCGAAACATTTTTCTCAGGCCAAACGCACGGTTCAACATTTCTGCACTAAATGTTTTGGATCAGAAGCATCCTGCAACCCTTTTTTCGAGATATTCTACGTAAGACTCGTACGGCAAAGTCACATCCGAGAGGAACATATTATATTCATTCACGGCCCATGCCTTCGTCGCTAAATCTACGCAATTACGATTAAATTTGGGTTTGTGACAACATGTTTTTTTTTTTTGGTTTCTGTACATTTGAACCCACGTCACTTGTACCTGCATGCTATTGCACCAGGCACCTATGGAAATTTTTTTGTTTCAAACACAATGAAACGTCGTTGTATCATCGGCGACACCACCTTTTTCTTCGATTTGAGTTCCGGGCGCACAAAAGTAGTCGGGTAACCTTTGCTGATACTATTCCAAAAGTCGAAACTCTACTAAATTGCGAAACACAAGGTGGAATGACATAAAACATAATTGCAGAACAACAAGATGTTACGTCATAAATGAGTATGTGTGATGAATCTTATGTTATCACAACGCATTGCTTGTCATATGTATAATGATAATTACAAGCCTCTTTTCACTCTAAATTTTCGTAACACATCACAAACTGTTGAATATATCATAAGAGAATTTTAAATATTTATTCTCGTGAAAAAAGGGACATTTTGGAGCGTCCGCGGAGGATAAATCCTCCAAAATGGTATGGTCATCCTACGGTCCCACCAAAGTTGAAGAAGTACTTACTATCAGGTACGAAATTTTATCCTCGGGCTTCGGATCTGCGACTCGGAAGATGCAAGACAGCCAATAGTTGGGAAATGAATTGTTGTAACCAACTCGTTTTGTCCTAATTCAAAGAATCCTAAACTGCTCCAAAATGAACCCATTTCAGGAAGGGTAGCGTCTTGAATCCAAACGGTTATTCTGCTCAATTGCGGACTAGACCTTTCTTATAAACTATGTACAAGGGTAAATTATTATAACTTGTTCAAAGGTACTATACGCTTGGCACAGAATTATTCCACGGATTTATTTATTAAACAAATAATTAAATTGCACACTTAAAAGTAAAACCACACATTGAACACTGGAATAGAGAAAATAAGTACCTTTCTCAAAACAATTTGATGAATGACTGTCAGGAGGACGACTCAAATTAAACGACTATTAGTATTACCGGTAAACAAGATCAAAAGCGTGGCTGCAAGCTCTATAAAACTCATGACAGTATGGCAAAAAAAGTCAATAAAAAAGTTTGCTACGTGCTGGTAATTAGAAGGAAAATCCCTAACGTGCCAAGAAGAACGGACTCAATTCATCCGTTTGTGGCTTTGAATGTCACAATTCCCAATAATTCAAACCTCGATAGTCTGAGGTTGTGCGAATTAACCTTATAGGCATAGCCACAAAGAAGGAATCATCAGGAATATCATTCTGATATATACTTGTGGCTAAACATTTGCCTGTGATGAAATTCAGACGTGGGACACAATAAGTAATATCAATCTAATTTTTGTGGACGTACGACACATATGAAGAGACAGTGCATACAACTCGTGAACTAGTTACCGCGACACCACATGCCTATAATATAATATAAAGCTTCACAAAAATGATTCTCAGATAAGTACAATGGACAGAACAAATGGATGCAGAATGGCAAGTAACAGTGCATAATAGTCACGAAAATATTGATAAAAATAATGATAAATTCACTTTTGATTAGCGACGACAATTAAACCAAGTATAAATATAGGCTGGCATTCATGGTAAATAATAAAGCATGTTATAGCAAGTGAAGAAATGAGATACAGCCCCGGCAGCAACAAACATATGCCATATTGCATGAGCACATGGAATCCAGCCATCACTCTTGAAGACGATTACTCCGCTTAGATAGAAGAATCCCCCGACTGATAAAGCTTGTAAATGCTCACTAGAAGAAATATAATAGTGGAATCATATTTAAGTTAACCGCAATGAGCCCGCCAACCAAACCGTTCTTCAGACGAAAATGAGCACAGAGAACATTTTTGCAGGGTATTGGTGGTTTTTCAGGTTTTTGGTGGTAGCCTTTGCATATTGCACATTGATAGACATGCTCAAATACGCTATTGACAGGAAGATCCAATTACTAAACGCAGTAACCGTATGCAAAGCAACTCACACCGAAATGTGGCTGAGCACTGCGTACTCAAAATCTGGATGAAAATATTGGATGTCGTAGGGAATTTGAAAAAATAGAAGGAACAGCATTTCAGCGTCTACTTCCATCGTTAGGTATTGTTCGGCGGGTTATTCAAAACGAATCGAATATTAGAATAGCTAATTTTAGAATAATTCCGAATAGAACTTTTCACCGTCAGCAAGGTTTTTGGTGCTTTTTTCAACGTCGGGGTAGATAAAATTGTATTTTATAGATTGCTCTTGCTTGCGCGACAAAACGTACAGTTCTATGAGAACAAAGATATAAACGAGAAAAATCTTCGAACGATTTACCGCGCTTTGTCTCGTCTTGTCATGACGATGTAATAGAATCGGCACTTTGATTGTTTGTTATATTCTATGCGAGCGCCCGGAGTTATTGTTGCGATATTTTTGCAAGGTTGCGTGGTGGAAATTGCCGTCATTTCCTTACAAGGCTTCAAAATGATTTACGCATTCATTTCCAGTTACGTCGGAAAATTGAGAATTATTTAAAGCCGTAAATAACCAAACTCCCTCACTTTCAGAAAGATGTCCCGCAAAGGGCTTTCGCTAGACCAGTGGTTCTCAAACTAGGGTCCGCGAGGGAACATAAGATGCCGCAACATCCTTTAGTTTTGCGTTATCGACTAACGTTGTTCTTAGCGTTATCGTATCAATTAGTTCTTTGAATTTTGTTTTACTTATTGGACATGAAGTGGACCTATGGATCGTTTTGTTATTTTGTATTTTCCTCTTTTTGTTGTGAAAATTGTCTTTCTCTTTAACTACGGGATCAATTGCCTTGAGATTTACAGTGGTTGAAGATTGTTGTTGTCGCCAGAAGGCTATTACTTTTATTCAATTCAAAAAATTGCTGTGGATTCTATGTAAATCGTTTTTCACTTTGAATTTTTGTGTCATGATGTCATCAAATTTAAAAAATTCACGTGATCTCTTTCTGGAGAAACTTGTGTTTCAATTTTGGGACCCATTGCAACAGTCATATTCAAAGATCATTATGGCTGCATTTAAAATCATTACATTCGTCCCCTCTTACTTATGTACACATGGGTTTTCTACGTTTGTTCAAATCAAGACAAAAACAAGGAACAAGCTAGATGAGCAAGATCACATGAGATTGGCAATTTCGCATACTCATCAAGAAAAAAACAAATATGTGCTGAGCTACAAGCACACCCGCTACAAGCACACCCTTCACACCAAGAATAGTTGGCATTAGTTGCAATAATCAATAGGCGATTTGTGTAGCGTACGTGAGAATTGGCAGCTAATTTAAATGTTGCCCGAAAAGATAAACACTATGTGCTTCTATTGTATTTTCGACTTGAAAATTGTGAGGGTCCGCAGTTAATTCAAAGGAGCATAAGGGGTCCTCAAGCACACAAAGTTCGCGAACCACTGTTCTAGCTAGAATCCAGGGTGGTCCAAGGTTGTCAGCTCCGCGGGCCACGAAACTATTTTTGCATTGCTCGCGGGCCACAATAGTGCTAAGAATAGGTAAACAGTGCAATACAAAACAAACATGTTTAGTGTGCAAACACATAGTTATCAGACATAGCCATCCAAGGCTAATAGAATCCGCATTAGATTTTTAGTTTTCTATTGTTAGCATATATTACCGACCAAAAAGATAGAAAGCCAGATAATAATTTAGACTGCCAATCACATCATTCAACTTCGCTAGTTGCCTCAACTAGCCATAACACTGGTCAATTCTGTGGCATTAATGATGTAACAATATGTAAGAAGATTTTTCTGATTAATTTTATTACAAAACAACACGAAATGCTATTTTTTGATTACTCTCCGAATGTGAAGCGGGCCACAGATAATGAAGCGGCGGGACTGGGTTTGGACCACCCTGAGCTAGACAATTCCGTACCACGCTTTCGGTCTTTCACTTCACGAACGAAATGAAAATTAAAATTCGTGTGTGAAGCGTGTTAGACACAATTCAATAATATATTTCTTGTAAACGATTGGTCGAATTGATCTCGTGTAGATCCAACCAAGATCAGACATTAAATGTTTTGTTCATGCGCTTTGTTACGATACCCAATAAATTGTGGCATGACGACAAAACAAGTTGAATTATTCGGAGGTCTGGAAAAAAAAAAATTTAAACTTTTTCCCGTTTTTCGGCAAATAATTTTGATAATAATAGTTAAAACAATAGATTTTTTTCTAGGATGATTTTCTGTTTCGCAAAGTATTCAATCCATGGCCGATACCAGCATTTAAAATGCATTGCCGTGTTAATTTGATTCTGTTCAACGTAACTCACGGTTGCGTAGACTTGCAAAAAATAAGAGCATTACAATAAGCATTACTTTAAAATATCCTGCAATCTGCGGTGCGGGCATAAAATGTGTGGTAAGCCGCCCAACTCATTTTGATCCGTATTCTTGCGATCATGCGAAATCGTTATCGCCGTTAAGAAATACCAAGATCCATCATAGAATTCCAAGAAATACTATTTTTAGTACAAGTACACCAATGAATTGATCGAATACACCTAACTTCAATGACTATGAATTATACAATATCTACGAATTTCTCAATATAGCATAATGTGTGCAGTACACACACGAAATTTTGGCAATTTACAGTGTCTAAATAACATTTTTATTTGTCGCTATGCTCCTAACACAAATTTTATAGAATGTTTAATGACATTTTATTGGGTCTTGCTTGCAATTGAAACACATCCATTTTTTAAGTGAAATATCCAACCGGAAATGTACAAATTGAAAAAGCCTGTTGAATTTTAATAGCCAGGCTGGAAGCAACAGTCATTCATTGATTACTCTATGCAAATTCCACACAGTCAAAGTAAGGCTCTTTGAATACATTCAATATTTCATATTCAAAGAAAATAATTTCAGTGAATTATTCGGTATTACTAATACCGTCAGCTATTACTAATTCCGTATAAGACATCTCTGGGCATCAAGCTTGACGAAATAAGTACAGAATTAAAATGAAACAGTGAAAATCCCGGTGAATTATTGGATATCATACAGAAAGGAAGTGAATCCGGCATTAAAAACTTGAATTCAATTGTTTTTGTACCAAACGATTGTGCCAAGGCAATCTATTACAAAATTATTATAAGCATTGTACATAGGATAGGATTTTCATGTTTAAGAGAGGAGACTCGATTCAAACATTGTAAAACCGATACAAACAAAAGATATGGCATAAGGCAAAACAAGGGTCCAATTTGACCAATTCAGTTTAAATATGTTTATATTTATAAAATGATTAGCCCAATTTGGGACAATGAAAACAATGTTTACCTCAACATTTCAGCATTACTAAATTCAATTTCTAGGAATGACAATAGAGATAAGATTTGTGCTGTTGAACATGGACCATTTAGAATGAAGATATTATTCTCGAATATATTCGAAACAATGAGTTATTTGGTTTTGGCCCTAGTGAGAAGCATGATTAGAAATATACTCACCCTTCAGTTGTGGTGCTGAGAGCAAGCGCTGGTAAAAGTCCCTGAGCAACATATAAAATCGTTTCCAGTAGTTTGTATTTTTCAAGGAGTAGACAAGAATACAGAATACCAAGAAGGACAAACAACCACATACCCCATCTGAAAGGTTATGTTACATTGATAAGATAAGATATTATTTTTATCTTGAAGGAAAGAAAAATTGATAAGATGGCTTGACCATATAGCATGCATACCATGACTGCTCGTTCGGGTCCAGTCCCTTTACCAGTCCATGACTGGTTTGGGCTTAGTTAGTCATTTATTTGTTTCAGACTCATGGACTTGAATTAGCCCTGACCGAGCAGCCTTACGTGAACCACCCTCTAGTCAAGCGATCCTCTAGCACAAAATTATCCCCCACAGGTAAATAGCTTGAAATATCTTTTTTTCACAAGCGATCCTTGACAATATTTTTTCAACAATTATATGTGAATAGCAAAATGTGTTGCTATTTTGCTATTTTCCTAAAATTAGCCTGAAAGTTATGACCTTAAAACGGTATTGATCACTATGTACTGTTCTGCATAATTCGACTTCAGAAACTATTATCAATGCCATTTTTCTCTATAAGTATTGAATAAATCATGATTATACATCTGCGATAACAGACCTATTTAAAACATAAAAACTCTACCATTGGCTTACAATCTTTCTCTGCATTTTGCAAATTGAAACAAAAAAATAGTTTCGAGAAAAGTACGGACCTCAGCCATTCCAGGCTTGGATGTATTGAAGATAACATCAACCAAGGGGTGTATGATCCAGATATGAAAGTGAAAATAATTGCTCGATCACAGAGATGAAAAAACTCCCAGAGTGCCGATCCACAGCAATTATCCGACAGTCTAATTGTTTTCTGGTAAAATATAATATATACAGTCAAAAGTTGAAGAAATAACGCCAATAAGGCTAAAGAGAACAACGGTAGTATTTATAAACAAAACATTACAACTGAACATAAAGGCGAGTTAACGGGTAAAATCTCCGAAAATGGATAATATACTTTATTTCAATTTAACATATATTTTAGAATTGTAGACTAATATATTAGTCAACTCCTACTAAATAGAATTAAATATTTTACTAAGGTGATTTAAAATTATTTGTTCTGGCAATGCTGAATAATTCATTATGCATTATCTCGTCAACTGGATGAAAAACTGTCCAGATTTTTATCATAATAATAACACACTATTCATAAACCTATGATACAGTGCAATTTGGCTGTCTTTTCAAGCCATTTCCATAAGAAGACTAAAAACTAATTGAACAGTGACTCACAGTAGGATGTTCACATTTGGACCAGGTTAACCAATGGAAAATTGAAGAAACAACGAATAATCCCACTAGAGACGCTCCATATATTCTGGCACTGACTTCATAATGTAAACTATGTGAAACATATTTTTCACTTAAATGAGTTTGGTTGTGATCAAATGACCCAATGTGCAGATGACGAAGATATGCAGATTGTAAAAGAAGCTCACCTGCAAAGTAATAAAACATTATCTAATTGATTATAATTCAATTCTTATATGTATTTTTCAAATATAAATTCATATTGTTTAATGTGTTGGGCTACATAATACTTAAATATAATTAAAACAATACAATAATGAATTCTGTTCAACTTACCAGCAAGTATGCTTGGAACAATCATAATCCCATGAGTGAAGGTATTTGCAAAATGCTCGAAATGAGTAGGTTCATAACATTCGCCAGGGCATGCTCTTTTATTCATCCATTTTTTATCTCTGCAAGCCTGTTGCCATTCACTCAGTAAATTTGATGAAATATTAACGCTTCCTGTGACGAATGTTGGGAGTGAAAAAGCATCATCCTGTTTCTTCCCATTAGATAGCGTCATCTTTTAAACACTGATGGACTTAAAATTAAAACACTTTACATTGTGTTACTGACTTCACTGCGACTAAAAACAACAAATATATAGAACAACCATAATTTAGTAATTCGACTAAGCCAAACAAAAAAATTGCAGAAACATATGCAGGCAGAATTTTTAGTAAAATTAAACAACACTTTGAGAGGATCAACAAGACGAAAGAGTGAATACAAAAATTTTATTTGGAAAGATTGCTAAATATAAATAGGTGCTCTTCAGGCCAAGCAGTCCACATTTCCTATAGAACGAGTAGTTTTCAAGATAAAATTTGAAAAAAAATTAAAAAAGTGGGCCTTTCTCACTGGTACAAAAGCGAAAAAGGGCAAAGCTCGGCCTTCACACTTTTACTGCAATATATTTGTGATATAGATGCGTGTTATGTGGCACATTTAAATGGGCAAAAAAATGAAAAAAAAAGTTATTAAACGGATTAGGACATAGGAGTTGCATAGGCAATCATTTTCTAAGGCAGCTTTTTAAGATTCTGCCCTTTGTGTTAAGGACCTTGATTTGAGAACAAAAAAAAGTATGGATATTCTTGGATTTTTCAATTTTCATGCAATATTGGAAATGAGTATCTTAATAACAAGTGATAGTTCCATTTCTCCTTCAATTTTTTTTTTTTTAACAGTTTATCCAAAATGTGAATGGAGGGGTGTTGTGATTCTTTTCATAACTGACAAGATTGTACAAGAATTAGTATGAAGAACAAAAGCAAATATGGAATATATCAGATAAAGATAACAATATCACAGTGATGTTATTAAATGTAAGTAACAATGCAACTGTGAACATTTGATGTTTCACAAGCATCATGTCAAAATTTCAGTGGACAACAATTCCCGTAAATTGAAAAGTGATAAGTTAAGCAAACATTACAATACACCGCATTTCTCCGTATATATTATGCACTTCCGCAGCCAAACTTCAAGTTGAGAATAAGAGGGTGCGTATTATGCATTGACATGGAAAATATCGAAAAAATATTAATCCTCATTTTTATGCTTAACTGGCAAATAATTCTCACATATCTTGAGTGTTTTAATTTCATTTAGCAAAGTCTTTTAGGATCAGATCATGATTGTTTTGGTAGAAGCATGCCCAATCCAACAAAATTTAGCATTAGTAAAAGTCGCAAGAATCGCAATCAATGCAAAACTCAACCGTCCGAAAAAACGGTGAATTAAAAGAACAGCTGTACATCGTTCACTGCTGTCATTGTCTTGCCGTTTCTCTCATCGAATCGGCATAACTTCAGGGTCAAAATCACTATATGTCACTCAAATTAGTGACCCGCCAGCGGGTGCTGTGTCTGAAACCATGCTCTGATTTCGGGCCCCTAGCTTTTAAAAAGATCTGAGACAAATAACAGCATGATACTTTAATTAATGTCAAATAACATCACATCATGATTGGCAGACCGTTACACCGTAAATACATGAAACAACATATTAATTAGGAGATATAGTTAACAAAATGCAGACAGAATGCCTGTAACAATTCGCGAAAAACACCCACAACGCAAGAGATGAACGTAACCCCCATATACGTATTATGCAAGGAGATTGAAAGATTCTCACCACATATGTGCTAAAATACATATTCGTATTATCTATGGATACGTATTATGCAAGGAGAAATACGGTAATCTTACACTATATGCAGAAACATACAATAAGAATATGATTCAAATTTAACAGTGACATAGTTCAACCATAATTTGAACTTTGATCATGTATCATTATTCAAATATCCTGCATACAAAACTATGTATCAAGTTCTAAGTCTACAATAATATAAGTTTGGCTTTTTGCGAGTTCGTTTGTCTGATCCTCATTTTCAATGGGATGACTCAGGATAACGCATTCATTTGATACATTTGAATTGACATTATTTGGGCTTAGACCATCAGAACACATTTCGACATGATTTCTTTCTCCAATATCGGAGATGACTATACCGCTATCAGAACTTATTGATGGCACAACTACTTGACATGGACTGATGGTATCATTCAACTTAATATGTTGATTTAAGCCACTTTCATGACCACCGCTTTGTGAAATAATCATACTACTGTCTTCTATAGTTTCCACAACTACTGATTGCATGTTTGGATCACTGTTTTCGACCATATTTTGCTGTGTCTTTAGGTTGTCTTCATCAACAGGAGCTAAAGAAATAGGAATATGAGACTGTCGTGTATTTGTCATAATATTTCCATCGCTTGTTAGAAGAATATGGTCTGGTAATACTCTATTTTCACTTTCAGAAATAGAAAATTCCTGACACAAGTGCATGAGTATGGACTGTTCAGATGTGGGAAATGTTGATGATAATTCATCGGCTGGTGTCAGCATAAATGATTGTAGGTTATTACCATTCGGCTGTTTTGAATCACAGTTATCAATTAGCGCTTTGGGATTTGGATTATCCATTGGTCTTACAGCTGTGAGGATATAATGTTTTTCATCATTGAACATAGCTTTGGAAGCGAGAAATAATGTACTATTATTAGCTGGTGGATCTAAAGACGAAAGTTTATCCATCTGATCTTGTTCTCTTACAGGCTCATTTTGAATGAAGTCATGATGTTGCTTAGCATGTTTTTTTCTTGAATTTTCATCACAAAACTTCTTGCGACATGTTTGACATTGGGGTGCGGACGGTCCCTGTAATTTTTTCATGTGTTCTTGTAAGTATGAGAGCCTGGTGAAGGCTTTCTTGCAATGTTCACATTGAAACAACCTTTCCCCAGTGTGTTTTAGATAATGTCGATCAAAATCACTCTTTGTTAGAAAAGACATTCCACATATATGGCATTTACGATTCTTGACACCTCTATGCCTTAGGACATGCATTCGAAGATTTCCCTTTTGTCGAAAACTACTACCACAAAGGTCACATAAATGCGGTTTTTCATTTTTGTGAATTAGCATATGTGCTTGTAGTGGACTATTTTGAGAAAACCGCTTATTACAAATGGGACATATGAAAGGTTTCTCTCCTGTATGTGTTCTCATGTGTATAGTAACACATTTTGCTTCCGCAAATCTGGCAGGGCAAATAGAACATGCAAATGGTTTTTCCCCAGTATGCTTTCGAATATGCCTCTGTAAGTTGGCTTTCGTCTGGAATCCCATGTCACATTGTTCACATTGAAATGGTCTGGTATTTGTGTGTATACGCATGTGAATTTTCAGGGCATACAATGTTTTAAAATTCTTAACACATACATAGCAAGTAAAGCCAATGCGAACGTTTTCCTTCACAATTCCATGCTGGAGTAAATGCTTTATTAGACAGTTACGTGATTTACATCTGATCCAGCAGATTCCACAAATATATCGAGACATTTGATCTTTGACAGCAGATAATCGTTCCTTTGCCTTTTCGCTTACCTTGGCGGGTCGTGAATGTGTTTTAATATGGCAATTCAGATTATACTTTGTACTGAATCTTTCATTGCAAATTCTACACAAATGTTCACGTATACCACCATGACACATCAGATGATTTTTCAAAGAAGGTTTATTTTGCAAAATTGCTCCACAACCAAACTGCGTGCAAATATGCTGTTCTAAAAACTTCGGAAATATACAGTTCGATCCTACAGTCAAATGATCAGTAGCCTTCTCCAAGTTTTCATCATTTGTATCCTTGTCTGGTATTTCATTTGATATAAACATATTTGTTTTATTTTTTACACCATCACTTGATTCCATCAATTTACAGTCACGAATTTTGATTTGTTCATTGCAATAGTGGCGAATATACGAAAAACTCAAGTTGAGTTGAACGGCTGCCGCGGTAAGCATAGCTTCGGATGGGATGCTACCCATGGCTATTGAATTCATAATACAGTCTGGAATACGCTTGCTATTACTGCGAACATTTTTTCGTGCCATTTTTGACACTAAATTGAACAAATTTGGAGAAGATAAAAATTTAATAAGACTGATGTAAATTTCTTTTCCTTTTTTCGAAAGATCTTCCCACTGTTTTGGATGATTCAGTAAATCACTTAATGTACCCTGTGTGCGATTCAAGTACTGTTTTGCAAAATTATTCATAGAAATTCCATGATGCTTTAGAAATTGACGCATATCCATTGCTAGCATATTTGTGTTCACAATTGCAACATCATCGCTCAGAGATGACTCATTAGCAGGTTTTCTTATATACCACTCCGTTTTAACACAAGGAAAATTTTCCTGGTTAATGGTTGAAATTCTTTCAGATTCATGATCGGGAGCAAGAGGGTACAAATATGCTTGAGTTGATATCTGATCAACATCATCTGATAATCCATATTGTAAATTTTGTTGACTCAATATAGATTCTCCAATGTCTTCCTGTTTCTCAACCCAGGTTCTCGTTCTGCAATAGTTTGTCTCAAGATCACTAGAAAACATTTCTTCAGGTGTTTGGGGCAACTCAGGTGAAGATGGCATGGATTGAGTTTCGCTTTGATCCGTTGAAACTAGTAACACCATTTCTGGTCTGTCTTGTTTTTCACAGTTGAATTCATTCAACGCAAATTCCTCATCTGTATCAAGCAGTCCGAAAATCTCTTCATCATCATTATTGCTACTATTTTCTTCTTCTTTAGTTTCCAAACCTTCAGCAACCTTGGACATGCACTGTACAATGACTCTGCCACTGTCATCACAAAAAAATCCCCATTCCTGATTTGTTTGGAATATAGATTGCGATTTTGATGAATCAGCTTTGCGAATATCTAAGCACTTCGGCAGTTTTGAGCTCATGGCAATACAGGATTAATGAAATAGAGCTAATATAAATTAACTGCAATTTCAAAAAATTGTGGAAAAATTATGGTTGAAAGTAACTTGAATCCATAAATCATTTCGTAACTGTGAAAGTTTAGTTTGTTTAGTGCTAAGCATTAGGAATACGCTCAACACCTCATCTCCGAATACCTTGTGTGGGTTCGCGGGTTTGAATCCCATGCAGGGATGATCATGTGCGAGAGGATTGCTGGACTCCTCGCCATCGTAGGGGGGTTCACGTAACAGCTGGTCGGTTATGGCTTCTTCCACCATCAAGTCCCCGCTTTAGAAAACAAAGAACTAACTAACTCAGGGTGGTCCAAACCCAGGCCTGCGGGTCACATGTGGCCCGCCGCTTCATTATGTGTGGCCCGCCGCTTCATTATGTGTGGCCCGCGTCGCATTTGTGTGAGGGTAAACAAAAAATCGCATTTGGGGTTGTTTCGTCATATAAATAACCAAAAAAATCTTTTGACATATTGCTACATCACTAATGAATGTCACTAAATGTCAAGTGTTAGGGCTAGCTGAGGCAACTAGCGAAGTTGAATAATGTGTTTGCCTAGTCTAAATTGTTAACTGGTTTTCTATTTTTAAGTTAGATATATTTGCAAATAAAATAGGCTTAATAGTAAGCTAAAAATCGAATGAGGAATCTATTAATTATAGCCTAGGTTGACTATGCCTACTAAATATTAATGTAATTGCCGAACAATATAATTCCTGCCGGGTGGTTTTTTTTGCAACCAGCCTAAACAGTAAAAAATGTTGACTATATGTCAGAAAATTTAGTAATCTAATCACTCTCTCCTGTATCTCAAATTTGGTAAAATTCGGGAATCAATCAATTTGTAAATGTTCAACTGAATATGGCAGGAAAAATACCACAATACTTGCTTGATATGTCTGCATGTTGTGTCGGTGACAATCTGAAGCAACATTTTCTCCGTTCTGAAGAGTTTGAAATCCTAAACTAAATGTAGATATAGTAAGATTTCTCCACGTTTCAGTGAGTTTTTTGGTGATTTTGGCATGTTTTAGCTTGATAAATGACAAATAATGATCAAGGTGTTTGGACAATAAAAGTGGTTGTATTGCAATGTTCACCTATTATTGGCACTATTGTGTGTTTGTACTGTGAAAAATACAAAAATAATAGTTGGCCCGCGAGGCCGTCAAGTTTGGACCACCCTGATCTAACTATTATTATACCTTGCCTGGTAATCGTCCTTTCTGTCCCCCAGGATGAATATGTAAATCCTATCCTATATCTAAACCTATCCTAATTCAATAGCAATAAAATCCGAAATAAACACATTTGGTAACCTACTTACTGACTTAATAACAAGAAACAATTTTACAAACTTAAGGAGTGGAGGTGGTGACTCTTCTACGGCCCATGGGCTAGGGCCACGGCCCATCAAATTAGGGATCGGCCCATCAGGCTTTGGGTCGCGGCCCCTTCAACACAAACAGTCCCCGAACTCATAATAGAACTACAATGTGAAAAAACTGAACAAAATTTATAACCCTAGTCCCTAACCTGGTACACATAGTCTACTACAGGAGTATCCTTCTCTGTAGCTTGGTATTTTGCTTTATTTTTATGTAAAAGCTTGTCGTAAGAAAAAAATTTGGTGCCATCCCGCGATTTTTTTTGGTTCGAGAATTGACAATTTTGTAAAAATTGAAAATCTTGGTAAGATACTCTAATTCAATTTTTCCTGATGGGACCGCGGCCCGTAGCTTGATGGGCCACGGCCCATGTGACCCAATTAAAAGGACCGTGACCCCGGCCCATAGAGGAGTCACCACCCATGTAGAACTTAAGACCCTAGGTGTGTGCAACCTTTATTACAGAAGGACCAGCTACAAGTAACTGGGTGACTGGTTGAAGCCGCCGCCCCCTTTATTTAAGATAGCCTTTCTAGTTGTTGCAGGCACAAAAATTGTTTCTTTTTGTTATCAACATTAGGTACGTCATTATACCGGTAAGGGGTCCTGGCATAAATGATGAGTTAAAACGCATAAGCAGATAAGTTTCTAAAACTGCCATTCAAATTTATTGTCACACCGACTTTAAACGAATTCAGTGATAAATCATTTTTATAACATATCTAATATGACAATGGTACGGTACCGGTAACGGGGTATAGGCTTTGCGACGAAAAAGACGTGCCGTACCGGTACCAGATCAACCAAACTAAAAACTCGTACACCATTGAAAATCGGCTTTTCTCCGCGGGCCGTACAATTTTCCTTGTGGGCCGCATTTGGCCCGCGGACCGCAATTTGCACACTCCTGCAGACTGCAGACCTGTCCTGCTTTTGTGGCAATAAATCTACCCCCTGCCCTAGAACACTAAAAACCTAACTAAACAATCACAGCTGCATTGCTGCAACCATGTTAGTATTTATTTACGCTGCAACCCACAATCTAGTCTAACAGAATAACAAACAGAAAGATTGACAGTGCCATGGCGCCCTCGGTGTCTCCAGCGTTAAAATACAGATAGCGCGACCCAAAAAAAAATTTTCTAACTTCTCGCGACCCAAGCATTTGATAAACATGTAATTAATTATCGATTTTAAGACTATTGTCGACACTAGCATTTTTCTTGCACAAAATTATATGGAACTTAGCACATAAAATTGTGAATAATAGCGTTTATTAGGACTAATGCAAATTACAAAGTTTGTGTATAATACACAACATATCTTATCGAGGTTTAATTTGGGAGACGGCAACTCGAAGATATTTTTCTACCTCTAGCCTTGATCTGTAATTGTATTTTAGGTAGGAAAACGCTGATAGGCGGGGAAAAATGTATTTTTTATTGAATTTTGGATGCTTTGCTGTAAGATGGCGTTTCAATATCGCTGCTGTCAAGCTTTTGTTGGTAAGAACATGAGGAACGTTTGTTCGTTGGAACAAACAACACACTGAGGACGTGAATCATCATTTATAAGAATACACGTGAAACCAATCTTTATACATTATTCGCTGTTATTCCGCTTATATGTAGGGTTAAGTTTATTTCGACTCCATAATCAGCATAACAATAAAATGATTGGTAAAAAAAGTAAATAAAAACTGATTATGAAATCAGGAGAGCAAACAAAACCTTAGATAAGGTTTAAAACGTACAGAATGTATACAAGATGGAAGGTTTTTCCAAGAAGAAGTGGTACGTGTTCACTTCAAAATATTTCACACACGCTCCCACACACACACCCATACAGAAGTTATAAATTACATACGGGCAGTTAAAAAAAAATAAATAAGAGAATTACTTGCCACACCATATTAATAAATTTTTAACGTTTGCCACTGCCGAATTGATAGATTATATAAATGGGAGTGAACAGTAGAGATAAACTTTTATGAAAAATATATTGCCAAGCTGGTTATATTATAGTTGGAGTCAATTGTCAAAAATGCCCAACCAAAGTTGCTAGAATTGGGTGCATGAAGCGATGGGCTAGACCAGTGATTCCCAAAGTGGGCGATATCGACCCCCAGTGGGCGAAAACGATACAGAGGGGGCGATTTCGCGAAACCTGTATTATGTTCGGCGCACTTAATTCTGTAATCAGTGTGCATTCGCAGGCTTGAATCACGTGGGCGATTATCACACGCGAAAGGATTTCTGGACTCGTCTTCGCAGTAAGGGACGGTAGTTGCGTATCCCAGTGGTCGGCAAAATACGGCCGGAGTAAAATAATCTGGCCCGAGACGATTCGCTGAATGGACATTTCCCTGACCTTTGACCGCGGAAAATTCTTCCCATACTTTACCATTTTAAAATTTTCGGTGTTTATTTTAAGAGTGGTTTCGCGAGTTGTTGCCTGTAAAATGGAGTATTTGTCTCAAACTATCATTCTAATACACACCATTCAATCAGTTTTTTAAAAGTACCGATCAAGAATTTTAGCCTAGTCTATCACAGCTATTTCTACACTAATTTTTGATTTCTGTAATTAAACTGAAACTTATAGGAAGACAAAGTAATCATTGATTTATTTGAAAAAAACTAAAAACTAACGAACATAATTCAAAAAGCGAAACTGAGGTAATGTTCACGACCACGCCTGAAAATCTGTCTTAGTGAGCGTATCTGAGCGGATGTGAAAGGGGGCATTGTTACGTTTTTGCATCTTGCTGATTGGCCAATGCTACGAAGTAAACAAGAAAGTCTATGTCCGGGTAAACATCCAAACGGCGGTTTTGACGATGAAATTTTTTTATTTATAATCTACGCTCGAGGAGTAAATTACATTTTTTTACGTAACAGAATTTATCGTGAGACACGTTTGGACTAAATTTTATTATATCCTAAAAATTTGGTTGAACAGCTACTCGTTTAACGAGCCCACAATTTAATTATAATTAGACAAATGGAAACACGAAGAAAAGTTGATGCTGAGGGCAGGGGTTCAATAGCGCAGTCAATATTCGAATATATTGCAATACAATAAGAAAAGAAAATTCATATTCTATTCGAGACATTAATCACTGCTTAATTTTTGTAAGAATGTATCTTCTTAAAGGAAATCTTTATCAAAATTTCACAAATCATGCGAAAATATTCACTTCGATGTTTGGAAGTACATATTTGTGCGAACAATTTTTTTTTAAAAATGAACATTACAAAGAACAAGCAAAGAACTGGGATTAGTGATGCCCATTTAGAAAATGTTCCACATTTGGCGTCGTAAAGCTATTCAGCGTGATGCAGCAACAAGACAGTGTCACATTAAATGTCATGGACCTTTCCCCGAGCATCGACTTCCTTGTTTACTTCGTGACATTGGCCAATCAGCAAATTGCAAAAAGTGACGTAACAATGCTCCCTTTTCGCATCCGCTCAGACACTTTTCTCACTCAGACAGATTTTCAAGCGTGGTCGTAAACATTACCTCGTTTTCGCATTTTTGAACTCTATTCGTTAGTTTTCAGTTGTGTTTTGGAAACTTAAATGTAAATCAGATATGTCAATGGTCACCCTGTCTTCCTAGGAGTTTT